GGAAGCGTCTCGAGAGTCAGGAATATGGTCTGTGGGTCAAGAATCTAGTCAGGAATGTGGCAAGAATTGGGAGATTCCTGACATAAAACAATAAAGTTAATTCTAGTCTAAAATGATATTATTATAAATTACCTTTACATTATGGAATTTAAAATTCTAGTTCCTCAATACAAGAAATCTTAGAAAAATTATATATTTATATCATTGTAGTTTGAAATTTTGATAATTTATAAACTTATTATAATTAATTTAAATTTAGATATATAATTTTAAATAAAGAAAAGTCATTCATATTTTGTTTTACTGGTGTTTCTTTTTCAGACTTTAACACTAACATATATTTAGTCTACTCAATCAAGTTCTAATGAATGATTTTTATTGTTATAATATACCAAAGAACAAACAGCTATATTAATTAGTAGAAAATTTTATTGAATTAAAAAAATTAAGTTTTGATATAAATTTGAAAATATAACCTTTTATATATTAATAATCTATTATTAGGCATATTTCTATATTCACAGCTTAAATAATATTATACTAAATTTTTAAATTGATATTTGAGTGATTCTCCTATTATGAACACTACTAAAACTCACTTTTCCACTTAGCTATTTTCAGTAGAAATATTATTCATAAAAAGTGAATTTTTCTAAAAATATTCATATCTCAAATGTTATTCAATTTGAAAATATTTTTATCATAATATTTTAAAAAAACTTTTTTTTGTTTTTCTTATTTTTAATCAATCTCTCTTGCGATCCTTATCTAAAGTTAAGTTTGTTAAGTGTGTGTATATTATGGTACAATATTTTTGGAGAAATGCCTAATATAGTGATATAAAAAAGGGCTAAAATGATTAAATTTTACTATTTTTTAATGATAAATTTATTATTTTTATATTTATATTATAGTAGTACTTGTGATTATCATTAAAAAACTTCCAATGTTTTAATATTTTGCATTTTGAAGATTTTTCCTGATTAAATTGCTTTAGATAGGATTTTTATGGATTAGTCAGCAAAAGTAATTATTCATTTAACTATATGAGTTTTTCTTATTTGCATGAACTGTCTTCAATTTCAATTTTAGGTTGCAAAATATATGGTATTGTTCAATATAATCAATTAACAATCAAATAAGCAAACATAAATGTACTTTGCAACTTGATAGGCTATGTGAATTTTGAACAACACTGTCAAAATTTAACTACAACTCCATATCTATGACTAGCAGCTGCACCATCTATAATTATAGCCACTATTTATCCAAGTTGATTTTTATTTTTTGAAAAAGAGTAAAAATGTTAGTAAAAATATCATTAATTTTTCACTTTTCACTACTACCATCCTAATAAAGTTTAATAAAGTTATTATCTTCTAGGAATTGCATGTAAGAAATTACATGCAATTCTAGAGTTCAAATAGTGCTTTATTGATGATTATAGAGTTGGAAGGGTAATGGACTTTGATAATTGAACATTGAAATGAGGTGTTAGGTTCCTTTTGAATCCTATATATAAGATTAATATCTCCTTGAATAATTACAAAATTATTAAAGGTAATCTTTCAATTTTAGTGGTCATGTAACTTTAAGATTTGTCTTGATCCCAGCTTTAAACGAGCATAATGCAACCTGGCAATCAGGAACCTCTTTAAATTTGCCAATAAATGATTTACCATTTTTTCCTTAATCATATAATTCTTTCAACTTTATTCTTTTAGAGTTATCTAATATTTTTATAGTTTCCACTAAATCCAAGGACCTAATGTTCACTTTTTCATAGTTGTTATTAGCAAGGTAAGTGTAAAAACTTTGAGTTCTTTACTTCATGGTTAAATATTTCTTAGCTATCAAGGGGTTAAGTAATAGTTAGATTAGTGGAAGTGTATAAATAATTAAAGAGAACAATTTTAAAAATGATCCATGAAGTTCAAATATAGAAAGAAAAAGTTTATGAATAAAAGTGCACCCTGTTTTTCATTTAGGTTAAGTGTCATTAGGTTTGAATAGTACTATATTGAGCGACCTCTCAAAAAGTTTAAATTTAAGAATTTACATTTGGTATTAAATAAGGTCTTAGGTCCGACTCTATTGATTAGCTAAAGGATTTACACTATATGCTAAAATTAACATTTAGCAACGGTTCAATTTGTCTCTAGCTAAACTTGTTAAAAGAATGGGGTTCTTAAAAGAGTTATAGCTCTTATCTTCCCTAACCATATGCTAAGATTGACATTTGGCAAGAGTTGAGTTTGCCTCTAGTTGGGCTTGACCCAAAATGTAAAATGTTAAAAGAGTTACAACTCTCAGCTTTCATTTATGAAAATGTAAATTTACATAGAAGTGCTAATTAAGGGGTAGAATGTCAAGAGAGTGGGGCTCTCAAAAAAGTTGTGGCTCTCAACTTTCGTTCACGAGGGCATGAACTTGTAATGAAACATGGTGGATTATAAGCAATTAAAAAGAATAACTTGAGATATAATCCATGGGGTTCAAATATAAAAAAAACTATAACTTATAAACAAGAGTGCACTTTTTTTTATAATCAGTTAAAAGTTTTAGAATACTTGGGGTTAAATGTCCTTTGGTTTGAGTAATACTTAAGCTTAAGTAGTATTGGGTTGGGTGACTTCTTGGGAAGTTTAAATTCAAGAGTTTATAAAGTGATGTTTATCATTCTTAATCAATAGAAGTTAACTGATAAAACAATTTAAATATTTTGATTTGTTTGATTCATTTAATCATTTTTATTCCAAATTCATTTTTTCTTGGACTTGCTAGTAGATGTTATGACTAAGCTGAACAATCTTAATAAGGTATTTCAATATGACTTCAAAGAGTGCATTGAGGTAATAGCTCATCTTAATACTACCATAGAGAAGGTAAAGTGAAAGTACCTTAATTTACAATTTGATGTTCATTCTCTAGTATTAGCTATTTCTCTTTAAAGGTCTTGATGTGGAAAATTAACATATAAAGATAAAGTTAGCCAAAAGATAGTCCAAAAGCTCTACTATGATTTTGTTGTGAATGTGACTAAGAAGAAGAATACAAGTAGCAGTGACTTGAATGAAGAACCACCACAACAAACATAATGGTTACATTTAAAAGACTATTAATGCACTCTAAAGATGGGTTTCCTTAACAACATGAAACTCTTTAATGCTTGACTTTATCCTACTAGGAACCTTGCTAATAGAAAGAATTGGTTGGAGAAATTATTGGAACATTCAAAACAAACAAATTAACTTTGGCATAATGAGTTTGAGGAAATTATTTAGATCTTTCTATGCATTTTGATCAAAAATGGGATGAGTGAAGGTTGGGTGATCTGCTCAAGACTAAAATTCATTCAAGTTTACATCTAGAGACCTTAGATGATTATGTTCCTAAATGCAAAGGAGTGAGACTTGGTCAACTAAGACTTAGCATTAAACTTATAGATGATAATAAAAGATAGACAAGAGTTAAATGTAAGTAAGTTTTTCTTTTACATGAATATTATATCATATGAAACAATTTCTTAATACCTGCTTTTTCTATAAAAAGAAAATTAAAGAAAAGGACCATGCAAATTTATGCCCTAATTATTCATGTCCCGTACGTAGTGATTAATATTAAATTAACAAATAGTGAGAGCTCAAACTTTCATTTAGTATACAATTTTTAATTAGCTAAGTTGGACAAAAAGCAATCTTTTACCCTTAATAAACAAGATCATATAGTTTATAGTAAACTCTAAGCTGAAAAGCTCCTTTTCATCTTCTTCACGAGGTGGTGTTTTCCATAATCGCTCTTTTCTAGGTGAAAGCTCCCTTTCAGCTTCTCATACTCCAGCGATGTGACGATGGCGGTGTTGTGAATCGGCTTGATGTTGGCGGTGAGCTCCAGCGGCTCGACGATGGCGGCGTCCGGTCTGTGACATCCCACTGCCACAGCGGCGTTCTTGGAGACGTCGCGGTTTGCTGATCCTTGAGCGAGAGCTTGGCCGCCCGTGGCGCTAGATCCTCTGCCTCCGGCTCAATGAATGGCTCGGGTTTCTTCGTTCCCCTGGGCGGTGGCGTCACGGCCTTGGATCTGGGAGTCGTTCTCACGCTCGGCAGTGGGCTGGATTTTGCGTAGTCGAGGATGTCGATCGGGACGTCTTTGTCCTTGGACATCCATCGCCTCAGCCATCGCTCGCCTTCTTCATCCATTCCCTGAAATTCCACCGCGTTGCGAACTACTCGATCCTGGACTTTCTTCGTGCTCTGGAATGGCGGGTCTAGCTTTCCCTGGATCCTGTGAAGCTTCACGCTCGGCTCTTTCAATCTGTGAATGGAACGCGTGGATGAGGAACCCAGGGAGAGGAAGAAACCACCATAGAACTGGAAAGATCAGTCGAGTTTTACTTGAATGCCTCCCCTCTCATGAGACCTGTGGACTTGCGTCGCCACATTGATCCTGGCTTCCTGTTCTTGATGTCGCGCAATCGCGTCAAAAACCAGAGATTGTCCATGTCAATCTGGTGGAATCGATCTGGGATGAAAAATGTTTTGGAATCGATTCCAAGAAATGCTGTTAAGATCGAAAGATGGAGAGGAGAATCCGAGAGCTAGCCAGGAATTAGACACTCACTCTGCCAGAGTCGCTCCTTCTTCTGCTCGAGCGCCTTTCTGGGGCCTTGATCAGGGAGTTGATTGTCCACCGCTGGCTTCATGGAGCGAATCCGGTGGCGATGCCCTTCCATTTGCTTGTCCTCCTCCCACTGCAAGTACTTCGTCTTCTTCATGAATTTCTTCATGCTAAGCTCCCGGAGGAGCGCCGGGGTCAGCCCCATCGCTCGCAACAGCCCTAAATCTTCATTTGAAAACTCTCTTTTAGCGGGCTCTCTCGCCCCTCAATCGGTTTGAATGCCCTCCTCACATCCGCCACAGACGCGCGATGGATATTTCTCCGGGATGGACGGCTGGGATGGCGCAGGGCTTTCTTCGATAATTTGCTAGGGTTTAAGCAATTCTTAGGGTTCTTGGCGAGAAGCGTTCGTCTCGCAGCTCGACGCATTGTGGAAAATGCTGCTCAGGGCTGGGGCGCGCTGGTCGCGATAGTGGATTCTAGGTGGCATTCATCCACGGCCTGGCCGGCATGCGCGGGATTTCGCAGCAATCGCGTTGCCTGTGACATGTTGCGGGTTTTGAGATTCCATCCGCCGCTGAGGAGCGGGCGGAGGCTAGATGTTGCCGCGAGGAGTAGTAGTAAAGGACAGGAGCAAATTCCCAACTGGGAGAGGCTACGGAGGCTTATGCTAGAGAATGACGGTCAGGTGGGGAGTAGTTTTGGCAGCAGCAGCAGCAGCAGCAGCAGCTACTTCCAGAACGATGTGGAGACTTTCTCCAATCCACAAAGCTTGCCAAGTCCGAATTTTCCCTCCGGGCAGCAACGCCGGGCATTGCATTCTATGGCATTCAACCGAGCTCAACCTCGCGGCTATTACGAGTATTCCGAGGATGACGATTTGGACGATAGAAATGGAGGGCCTCCAGCAGAGGTAAGTTTGTGTATGATTTCTCTTTTGCCAAAAGCGTCTCTCTTTTAGAATCTCCACTATGTTAACTTGGACGAGTGGCGTTTGCGGCTAACAAAATTTTTGAGAAACAAAGAACAAACCGAGATTATATCGAGGGAAGCTCGGGATCGAAGATATATCGAGCCTTTGACACTTCTCGCCAAAGAAATGGGACTTCATTGGTAATGTATAGCGGTTTCTCCTATTGACTTGAGACGCTTAGCTTCTTTGTTTGCGCAGCCAAATGTTTGGCAAAGCTGTTGCGATAAGCAAGAAGCCTTTGCCGCATTACAGGCCCGACCTTGACGATAAGCGTCCTCAAAGAGAGGTGATTTGTAGTTTCCTTTTATTTTGTTCTTGTGATTTAATCTGGCACGATACAGGTCTCGTTCTCCATACTGACGCACAGACGAACGAATGCATTGCTTGAGCAACACTTGCGTCTCAAGAGAATGTCAGCTGACACGTCCAGAAGAGCTCTTAGGGGGCCTGAAAGGTCGGCCAGCAGTTATGAAGAAAGCCCCACAACTACGATGCAGAGGAGCCGCCGGCTTGAAGCAAAAATGAAAGAATGGGAGGTTTGTGCTATGTGATGGTGTTAAACATCTTTTATTGACATTGATCTTGTGTAGGAATCCGAAGAGGGTCAAAAAATGATGACTATACGGAGAAACTTGCCTTCTTTCAAAGAGAAAGCCGGGCTACTAGAAGTGATTGCGAAAAATCAGGTTGGAAGTTCTTTTTGTTGTTGTTAAAGTTTCAAGTAATTCTTCTACAGGTTGTGGTGATTTCAGGAGAAACAGGATGTGGTAAAACAACTCAGCTTCCACAATATATTCTGGAGGCAGAGATTGAGGCAGGCAGAGGCGGTAGCTGTAACATTATTTGCACGCAACCTCGACGTATTTCAGCTGTTTCAGTGGCTGAAAGAGTTGCTTCTGAGAGGGGCGAGGTTATAGGCGAAACGGTAATCGAAGTCTGTCTTTTACTGTCTTTCTTGACGCTTTTGAGTTCAGATTGGATATCAAGTGCGTTTAGAAGGTATAAGAAGTCGAAATACCCGACTGCTTTTTTGTACAACGGGAATTCTGTTGAGACGCTTGTTGACTGACCCAAGTCTCAAGGGTGTGACGCATGTGATTGTTGATGAGATACATGAACGGGGCATGAATGAAGGTAAGGTTCTTTATGTCTCAAAACCGTGCTGAGCGTGGTCTTTTTTCTTTCTCAGATTTTCTTCTTGTTATTCTGAAGGAGCTTCTTCCTCAACGTCCTGACCTGAGGCTGGTGCTCATGAGCGCAACCTTGAACGCGGAGTTGTTTTCTAAGTACTTTTCTAAAGCACCAACTGCGCACATTCCGGTATTGAACAAAATTCCCGTTAATACTGTTAAACTCTACTAACGTAATTTTCATGCAGGGGTTCACGTACCCTGTGAAGAGCCACTTTCTGGAAGACGTACTCGATTTGACGGGCTATAGATTAAATCAATTTAATCAAGTTGACGATTATGGCCAAGACAAGCTGTGGAAAATGCAAAAGCAACTAGCTGCACGCAAAAGAAAGTCGCCTGTGGCCACACTTGCCGAGGTTATCTGCGTGTATTTGTATCATATTTTTTCTCTAACATTTCGGAAGTTCAGGAGGCGATGGCTAGTCAGGCTTATAACGACAGGAGCGCCGGCACAAGGGAGTCTTTATCTTGCTGGAACTCGGACATTCTGAACTTCAATTTGATCCAGGCAACATTATTACACATTTGCAAACAAGCGAGGGAAGGGGCAGTCCTGGTTTTCATGACTGGATGGGAAGATATTAGTGCTTTACTGGACAAGCTCAAGCAGGACCCTTTGCTTGGTGACTCGAGAAAAATTCTCCTTCTGGGATGCCACGGTTCAATGGCCACAGCAGAACAGGCTGGTCTTGCTTAATTGCTTGGTGGTATTTCGATGTTCGTGTCTAAATGTTTCTTTTTCTTTTCTGCAGAAACTTATTTTCGAACATCCTCCTCCTGGTGTACGAAAGATTGTGCTGGCAACTAATATGGCTGAAACGAGTATCACTATCAATGACGTAGTGTTTGTGGTGGACGTGGGGAAAGCCAAGGAGACCTCTTACGACGCTTTGAATAACACACCATGTCTTCTTCCTACGTGGATATCAAAAGCATCTTCGCGGCAGGTATACTCTTGCTTCTCTATGGAAATTCGTTATTCTAACTTCTGTCTTGCAGCGTCGAGGAAGAGCAGGACGTGTAAAGCCAGGGGAATGTTATCATCTCTATCCCAAGGCCGTTCACGAAGCATTTGCTGAATATCAGCTGCCGGAGCTTCTTCGAACACCTTTGCATTCTTTATGCTTACAAATCAAGAGTTTGCAGCTTGGAGATGTTGCAATGTTCCTATCAAAGGCTATGCAACCACCTGAAAGTCTGGCGGTAAATATATAGTGTGTCTCTTGTCGTTTTTTGACAAACATTTTTGGCGATGTATTTCAGGTAAAAAATGCGCTTGAATATTTGACTACTATTGGAGCTTTGGATGAACAGCAGGAATTGACAGACTTAGGTACGTTGTTAAGCTGTGTCAATTTCAATATATTTTGTGTCACCCTTCCAGGAAGAATACTGGCATTATTGCCAGTCGAGCCTCGACTTGGCAAGATGCTCATAATGGGATCCATCTTCCGCTGCCTAGACCCTGTTCTAACAATTGCTGCCGGTTTAGCTGCTCGTGATCCTTTCATTATGCCAATGGACAAGAGAAATGTGAGTAAACTTGTGCTCTAAAACTCCGGCCTCTAACATACCATCCAACTTCAACAGCTAGCAGATCAAGCCAAATACGATTTTGCTGGTCGGGAAGCCAGCGATCATATAGGCCTCGTTCGAGCCTTTGAAGGGTGGGAAGCCGCAATGAGCAACCAGGTGGCGTCTTCATATTGTTGGAAGAACTTCCTATCAATGCAAACATTGCTAGGAATGAGTTCTCTCCGGAAGCAATTTATCGGGCTCTTGACAACGGCAGGGCTTATCACGGATGACCTGGGATTTTTCAACAGGTATAGTCAAGACCCGGTTGTCTTAAGGGCTGTCATCTGCTCGGGTTTGTTCCCTGGAGTTGCCTCCGTGATGGTAAGTGTGTATTTTCTATTTTCAAAGTTCTCTAAGCTTGTCTATTTGAATGTTTGAGCAGAAAAAACAAAAGTCTGTGTTGTATAAAACCATCGAGGATGGCCAAGTTTTGCTTAGTGCTGTAAGTGGGATTCTGTCCTGTTTTTCTACCTCTAACTTGTCATTTTGTTCGTAGAGTTCGGTAAACTCCAGGGACTTCAATCCTAAAAATCCCTGGCTAATGTACAGCGAGAAGATCAAAATGTCAAGCGTGATGGTCCGTGATTCAACCTGCATTTCAGATTCAACGCTTTTGCTGTTTGGAGGCAAATTGATCGATGGCCACGCGGTATGCTCTCTTGGATTTTCTTTTACCTTCTTCTCACTTCGATACTGCTGCTAGCCTGGACACATTCTTATGCAAGGGAGCTACTTGGAGTTCTTCATGAAAGTAGACGTAGCGAACACTGTCATGAGACTTCGCCAGGAGATGGACAAACTAATCCTCCGAAAGGTGAGCTCTGTCTCAAACTCGACACTCCTCTCACTTTTCTCTCACTCGCAGCTGGCTAATCCCTCCATGGACATCTACACGGAGAACAAGGAGCTCGTGGACGCTGCCTTCGAGCTCATGCGAGGGGACGACTGCTCGGGCAGCTTCGTCTTTGGCCGGGCCACCAAAGGCAGCGGCTCCTCCAAAGGCTCGGCAGAGCTCAAAGACAAAGGCACTCCAGACACCAAAGGAATTCTCCAAACTTTGGTCCAGCGAGCAGGCTTTGCGGTTCCAACGTACCAGACGAGATCGTCGGGGTCTCAGTTCATATCGTGCGTGGTTGTCCGAGGCAAGAAATTTATCGGCGAGCCCGCCGAGTCGAAGAAGCAAGCCGAGAAGAACGCCGCCGCCATGGCCGCCGAGTGGCTCACGAGCTTACCAAGGATGCAAGACGTTCTCTCGGCGGGCAAATATTTTTGACGTGATAGATCCTAGCCATACTAAAAACTATGGAAGCTCCGCGACTAGTTTTCCCATGGACATTAGGTTGTCGAGAGAGAATATAGCATATTCTCTTAACGGATATCGCTACTTTTTGGTGTTCCAAGTTGCGAGCTCTAGGGTTTAATGCAGCGAATGGCGCTGCCGCTGTGGAGCGCTACCGGCAACGCGCGAATGCCACTGGCGCTGCCTGGCGCGCATCTCCTGGCGGATTATGGCTCCTTGCGTGCTCCTGGCCGAGGTATTTGTGAGGATTGCTCGATTGTTTTGAGAATGCGGCTTGCGCAGCGTCCAGGAGCTTGAGCATCCGGGCGGCAATAGCGCACGACACCTATGAGGAGCCGAAGAAGTCTTTCGAGGCTCGCGTCAAGGAGGAGGTGTCTATCGATTTGAATCCGCCGCGCGGGACAAGGGATTTCGCCCCGCCGCTGATGCTGCTGAGGAACTGGCTGTTCTCGCATTTTAAAGAGGTATGTCAAGCTACATGATAGAATGTTTAGTATTTTTTCTTTTTTCTTCTCTCGCGCTTCCAGGTCTCAAGATTATTTGGATTTGAGGAGGTGGACTTTCCGGTGGTGGAGTCGGAAGCGCTATACGTCAGAAAAGCTGGAGAAGAGATTACACAGCAGGTATGAAGCGCTACATTCTTATCTTTTAGCTTTTCCTTGCGCTCTTTCTGTTGGTTTCAGCTCTATAATTTTGAAGACAAATCTGGCCGCAGACTATGCTTGCGACCAGAAATTACGCCGTCGATAGCAAGGCTTATCATCCAAAAGGGGTGTGTATCCAACTCTCTTATTTCTCATCTCGTGTTGCAGTTGTGAGGTTGTTTTGCATGAATATAAAGCCGCACGCTGTACTGATATGAATGTATGGAGGCAAGTGTTTGTTCTGCTTTTGTGTTTAGCTAGGATTCAGTTCCTGTGAGATTGATGCATTTGACGTCTTCTACAGGAAATCGCTCGTTTTCCCTCTGCGATGGTTTACGATTGGTCAGTGCTGGCGTTATGAGAGAATGACGAAGGGAAGAAGAAGAGAACATTATCAATGGAACATGGACATATTTGGGGTGCCTGGCGTTGAGGTAGAAACTTGTTTTGAATGTTGGAGTTACAGATCGTTGTGCCCGCAGGCAGAAGCTGAACTCCTTGCAGCTATTGTCACATTATTCACTAACATGGGGTTCACCGCAAATGATGTGCGGATACGTGTCTCTAATCGTAAGGTCAGACCCGAGATTTGTTTTTGTTTTTTATCTGACGATAAACTGACAGGTGCTCCAAGCTGTTTTAGATCGATATTCTGTTCCACAGGACAAATTCAACAGTGTATGTGTAGTTGTAGATAAGGTAGGGAACTTTTTCTTTCTTTTTATCCCCCTCTTTCCGAGATCTCTGATAGACTTCATGCAGCACTTTTGTGTCTTCTAGATCAACAAGATCTCCAAAGAGGAAGTCGACCAACAACTCATGGACCTGGGACTCTCTTCCACGGCTATCAATGGAATTAGACATGCTATACTACTTAAAAACCTTGATGATATTCAAGGTAAGAAGTTTGTGTTTTGTAAAGTTTTTTACACTTCGTTTTCACTCTTGTTTTTTTTCCGTAACAGAATTAATCGGATCTTCAAGCGAGGCATTTTTGGAAATGAAGAAGTTGTTTGCTTTGTCAAAAGCTTATGGCTACGACGAGTGGCTAGTTGTAGATTTGGGAATAGTGCGGGGACTGTCATACTACACGGGTATCGTATTTGAGGTCTGTTCCGGTTATATTGTTTTCTCTACCGCTTACACCAACTTTCTAGGCATTTGATACGCAAGGGAAATTTCGTGCAATCTGTGGTGGTGGTCGATACGATAAGCTTATTTCAAATTTTGGAGGCCCTTCGATACCCGCCTGCGGATTTGGTTTTGGGGATGCAGTTATTGTAGATGTAAGATTTGTTCTTGCTAACTTGACAAAGTAAGTTTTTGTTGCTTTCCAGCTTTTAAACGAATGCAATCTATCGCCAGTTCTCGGACACGAGGTTGACGACGTTGTGTTCGTCTTGGATGAGGAGCTCCGCTGTCATGCGTGCAACATTGTGTCGCGGCTGCGCTCGGCTGGACGTACTGTTGATATGATTTTAGAAAACAAAAAACTGAAATGGTATGTTTTCCTGTGTCCTTTCCGGAGTTCTCATGGTTGGTATGCAGGGTATTCAATTATGCATCAAGAATAGATGCAAAACGCATGATTCTCTTGGGCATAAGAGAGTGGGAAGAGGGAAATGTTCGCGTGAAAGATCTAGTTACGAGAGAGGAGACCGACGTAAAGGTGGCTGAACTGGTAAGAATGTTCTAATCCTTGTCGAGGCCTAATACTTCCATGTTGCAGGTGCCAAGAGTTCCCAAAGAGGTTGGTCTATATAGGCCGAAACATCTCAACATTTTTACTCGTTCTGCAGGTGCAGCGTGGTCAGGGTAAACTCCCTGACAAGGAACGCAATCTTCGTTATTTACATCCCGACGAGGTGAAATTGGTTGATGCCTCTGGAAGATATCCGGAAGAGTATGAAGTAGGATTTCCTAGTCGTGGCATTCTGGAGGCTTTTGTGGACGAGTGCAAGCAGAAGCATGCCGAATTCAAATGCAGGCGCCGGGGAGACCCTGCTCCGGGTAAGTCCCGTCTTCTGAAAATATACGTACTGAAATTTCCTTGTGCAGGGCACCTTAAGTACGTTCTAAGGGAGATGAACCTTGAAGACGTTGATCTCGAAGATTTGACAATAGATGACGCCATGAATCTGTGGGTGAAAAACTCGGGCGGTATTATTTGGGAGGATGCATATCAGTTGATACACGATCATAAGCTCTCAATCTCCCACATACTGGACATGGATGTTTTTAAAGGACAAGGGAAGCTGGCTGCCTTGAAAACAAGACGAGAACCGAACATTCCCAACTATCTTGACGACTAAATACTGTACGTCTTTCATTGTTTCCTGACCCCGTGAAAAGTTGGCTCTTTGCTCTTTCAGAAACAACGGCTGCTGTGAGTTTACGTGATCTTGTACATTGTAGGCAACGAAATCTGGTAATTGAAGGTTTCTTTGGTGACTTTATCGAGTTTTCATCTACAAACAAGCCTCTCAGGTGCCTAGCAAGAAAATAGCCAGCCAGCACTTTGCTACAAGCCGGGAAGCTTTGTCAATAATCAACCCTACGACCAACCAGGTTCAGCAGCATTTCCAGGCAGACGCAGAAGCTAAGACCTTTCCTTGGAAACCGAGCAGCAGGCTTCCGTCGTCCTTGACGAGGTCAAATCCCCTGGTCTTGTTATTACCGGCCTTCTCGAAGTTGAACAGGCCGAGCGCAAGCTTCTCGCACATGTCACTGAGTCTGGAGCAGCACAGGCCGGCGTGACTCATCCACAGGTTCCATTTCTCCAGCCGCTGGTGCTCCAAATTTCCAGCGAGCAGCTCTTCGACCTCGGGCTTCCATACCAGCTGTTCAACTTTGTCTGCTTCCTTCAGGGAGCATTCCTCTGAAGCAGCAACACACTCTGCCAGTGCCGTGTAGTAGTCCAAGCCTTCTCGGAAACGTTCGATGAACGAAGGCTGTGGCTCCATCTCCTGCTCGACAAGCAACACTATCTTCGGGTGGGAAGCTCGGATGGAATCCAGTGCCTCGGCAACAGGTACCAACTTGTGAAGTCCGAACACAAAGTTGACGACGAGCACCTCGTGCACCTTAAGGCCCATGTCGGACAAGCTCAACGGACTTCCTGACCGTGTTAGCACGCCACAGAACTCAAACTCCGCGCATCCGGCATTCTTGGGATGGTCCCGAGCCAGCTCTCTCAAGCTCTCCAAGGCGAAGTAGAGTGCATGCTGGCGGGTGCTGGTCAGAGTTATTCGAATTTTGATCGGCCTGGGGAGCTTCTGCTCGAGGGTGGAGGCTACGAAGGATGACCACTGACCCCCGAAGGAAGAGTTCATTGAGGGCGAGTTGGCTGCTTCGGACAGATCGAGGATGTGCACGCATTCCTCGGACTCGATGGCCTCGGCGATGGCCTGGTTGGCGATGAAGTGTGCACACTTGAGCAGAGTGGAGGTGTCATACAGGCTCTTGCAAGCAGCAATCCGCTCGACGACCTCCGTCGCATCCGTCGAAGCGGGAGCTGGAGTGGAACTCCGTGCTTTCCTCTTGGACAGCCTCTCCGCGAGGATATCCCTGAAGAGGAGGCCGATTCGATAAGCTGGAGGTTGGAGCTTATGGAACTGTTGATTCTGATGGTGCTCCTGTTGTTGCAGGAAAACTTGGTGGTGGTGGTGATCATTGAGCCGCGCCAATATCGACTGGGCGAGTTCGTCCTGACCGCTCTCGCAGGCCTCTGCCGCATGCAGCAACAACCTGCTCGGAAACGCTCCGGAATTCGAGCTTAAGACGTGCTGTTGTAACGGATGCCCCGGTTGGGCATTCGGTGGAGACTGCCTCGCCACCTTGCTCGACGGGTGTTGAAGCTCCTGCTGCTCTCTCTTGAGGCTCGGCGGCAGCGGCTGCGGCCTCAACAGGACGTGCTCGTCCACGTATGGTATCCGTGAAGCCTGCCGTTTACCAGCTTGTTGCAACTCTCGCTCCTGCTGCTGCTGGAGGAGTTGCAAAGGGCTGGGACCTGGATTCTCGACAAACAGCCCGGGGTGGAGAGCCCTTGGTGAAGAAGCTCGCATGAAGCTCATGGGAGCTTGTCCGAACAAGTTGGGCATGTGCTGCTGGTGCTGCTCATCTTGAAGCATTCCAAGTAAGAACGGTTCCCTGTGCTGCTGCTGGTGCTCCAAACCAATCTGAAGATTATGCTGTTGCTGCTGCTGCTGCCACAAGGGATTCATGCTGCCGCTAAGAGCCAGGGGGTCTTGAAACTGCATGGGATGGGGGTGGTGGAACAGGGGAGCTCCCGATGATACCAACGGTAGTGTCCTCCGTGTAAAGCTCTCGAGATGAGCAAGATGCGGGGGAAGCGAGCTGGTTGACGAGGACGAGGAGAGCTGCTGTGGCTGCTCCTGCTTTACCATCATCATCACCTGCTGCTGCCATGGTGGAGGAGGCGGAATTACGTTCACATCTGCTGCCCCTGCTGCGGCTGCCGCGGAACCGCTGAAAGGCTCTTCAAACAGCCACCGTATGATGGACGGATCAGGTGCTGGAGCTGCTGGTGGTACTCCAGGTGAAGGGCAACTCCCAAGCAACTCGCTCTCAAGCTCTTCCAGTTTTTGCTTCTCGGGGAGCAAGTGTTGCTGCTGGTGGAGATGGTGGACAAGCAACTCGTCCTGCTGGGCTCCGACCACGTCTTGGAGCAGCCACTGATCGCTCCTGCCTTGGTGCTGCTGATGGAGAAGTTCCTGCGGAGGCTGCTGTTGTTGTTGTTGTTGCTGCTGCTGCTGCTGTTGCTCGTATCCACCGTAATTCTCCATCTGGCGAATTCCTTGGCCAGAGTAGAAGAGCGACAGTCCATAACCAGTCGACGCTGCTGCCACGGCCTGCTCCAATTCATCCTGTAGATCCGCCGAGGACGACGACTGCGCAAACGAGGAAGATATCTGCTGCTGCTGCCGCTGCTGCTGCTGCTCCTGGTGATGATTCCCTCTGGACTTCACCTTGGCAGCATCGGTGGTGCTATTGTTGCAATCCGACGAGGAAGAGGAGGAGGCTCCTGCCTTCTTGGTATTGTTCTGGATGGCCGAGGAGGAGGAGGCCGAGCCGAGCGCGCGAGAATTGTTGGGGCTTGGGCTGCGAAGATCCAGAACGGAAGTTGGCTCTCCGGCGAATCCACCACCGGCGGTAGTGCTGCTAATCACTCCTGTTGAATCTATCGCTAACAACTGTTGGTTGTGGTTGTAGTGCTGCTGCTGGTGGTGGAAGTGTTCCCGCTCTGGCAGCTGCTGTCCAGTCCTCGCAGCAGCACCAGTAGCAGTGGCAGTGGCAGTGGCGACTTCCCAGCTGCTGTTGCTGTTGCTGCCGGTGATATTGTTGCTGCTCAGCGCAGCTTTCAAGGACTTGCTGCTGCTCAAGAACACCGCAGCGTGGCTGTGGCTATGGCTGCTACCGCTGCTGCTGCTACTGGTGGTGGTGGTGGCGGTGGAGCTCAGGAGCCCATTGAGGCAGATTTGCTCCTCCCGCTGGCACGTCTCGTAGAGCTCCTGCTGCTGCTGCTGCTGCTGGTGAAAGACGGGAAACGACGTTCCATGGTGTTGGCCAGAGAGCATTCCATACATCTCAAGCGGCAGCAGCGGCGGCTCCTCCAGTTCCAGCTCCTCTTCCAAGGTCGGACTCTCGCCTCCTCCCTCTCCTCCTTTTGGACTGTCTCCCTCGCGCGACCATTAATTTTGATCTCTGCAGGAGCACCGAAGGATCAATCCAGATAGATCACGAGAAGAAACAAACACAAAAGTGGAGAAGCGAAGTTCAATCACTGTGAGAGATTGCCTAGCTGCTAGATGGAAGGGGGATTGGATTGGATTGGATTGGGGGGGGGGGGGGGGGAGAGAGAGAGAGAGAGGAGGGAAAGCTTTTCTAGCTCGCTTTTCTCGCTTGCTTGTTTGCTCACCTCCTTTTTTGTTCTTCGTGCGCTTGTTTTTGTTGTGGGTGGCCTGCTATACTGCTGCTCTGCTGCTGCTAGCGCTGCTACTGATGTGGTGTTTGTTCTAGCAAATCATCTGCAGATCCCCGCCCTGTCCGACCGACAACACTCTACGAGGCCGCCTCGCAATCGGACAAGCACCACTCGGCCTCGCCTCTTTGTTTGTTTGTGCGCCACAATGAATGCTCACGGCCTTGAGCAAGACGAACAAAAGCCTCGAGAAGGAGAAGAGAAGATGAGAAGAATGCCTGCTTTATCTTATATACAAGAGGCGCGCGCGCGCGCGCGGGGCGATCGCCCACTTAACCAGCAAAGCGCACAAGCGAGCTCGAGGAGGAAGAAAAAATGAGAGAGAGAGAGACCTAGTAAACAGGGGAGGGAGGAGGAACCCTACAATCATCTCGGTGGGCATTGTACTTTTGACGTCTTTGACAACGAGGTCAGTGAAAGCTCTCCCTTCCAAAACTGAAGGCTCGTGCTTTCACTTACTATAGCTCCTTCTGAGCAGAGGGTGGCGGCAGGAGAAACTAATTGGCACTGGTTAACTCTGGAGTTCAATTTAAACTTTTTGAATTTTATTACCTTTTGTGGTAAATTAGAGGGAAAAGTGAACTGCTGCAAACACTCTTCCTGCTACATACTAAAAGTGGGCTGGGCCATACCTAATGCAAATAAAAGATATGTATGTGCTCATGTCTTGGCTTTAGAATTATTAGGTTACAAAAGTTGTATAGAGGGCAGGTGACCTACCTTTGGCGTCTTGATATTGCTCCATGGTGTTTAAAGAATTATTTTAATTTATTTTTTCAAAGTTTTCCTCACTTGTTTTGCTTTGAGTTTCTTTGCTGGGGTGTTTTTTTCTTTGTTGTTTGTTGGGGCCCCCTGCTCCCTTGCAAGCAGTAATAGTACCCTTCAGCAAGCTCCAATAATTCATAAAGGAGAAAAGGAAAACCCTCAAAATGCCCTGGACTGGATCTTACCTTACACAGCAATTGGATTGGATTGGATGCCTCTCCCCTTGTTGATTGTGTGTAATGCCCAAACAATGCAACTAGTGTCCTAGTGGTGTCCTGTCAAGATGGTCGAGTCTTCGTACATATGTTATATGAAGTGAAAGATCACCATATTATAAACTCCAAAGCTCCCGCAAACAAGCCCTGCATTGGCGTCTGGATATATATTATAATTGTATACTTCCATTCCATGGCCGCAACTTCACGCACACACGAAATGAGAAAACTAGAGATTCGCTCCTTGGTTCTTGCTAAACGGGAAGTCCTGGGCACCCTTTCCCCAATTCATCGTCTTGTTGTTCTTTCTTGTCGTAGATTTCAACTGTACACGGTAGAAAAAGCTCCAGTTTGGACACCCATGACCTCATCATCTATAAACCCAGAAAGTATTTCAGATTTGTAGCTCCACAGCAAGCCATGGCAAACAAAACTTTAGCAGCCGTCATCCTTTGGGCGCTTTGGACTTTCTTTCGTTGTCACCCAACCTGAAAGATCTGACTGACGCCTTAGAAATCGCCATCCCGGGTCCATTTCCTTTGTCCATCCCGTCCGATTTTTCCCTGTATACCGGTGTACACACATGGATGGCGAGCTCATGGAAAAGGTGGTGGATTTGATCGGTTAACTGTTGATCTCCCACTCAAGAAATGTGTGTGTGTGAGAGTCTGTGTTTTCCGGCCTGTCATCTCACATAGCTAACATAGTGTCACAATCGCTGATGCAACTCGCTGTTCTCCCCCACAAGCATGACATGAACATGAAATGAAGCACACTTTTTTGCTGCTGCTGAGAGCACTGCTGCTGCCGCTGTGCCCCACACAAGCAGCAAGCCCATATCAGTGTGTCGCTTTCTCACAAATGCCGGAGATGGGGGAGGAAAGATTTGAGATTTCTATCCGGAATCATGAGAACTACTGCCCTTTTGCGACCAAATCGTGTAGGGTTAGCTGGTTTTCTTGTCTATCATGGAGCAAACCACGCTAGCTTACGAGCTCTAAGAGGCGGTGATCAAACAAAGACGCTCTCTATCTATTCAACGAATTACACATGCCCCCAATGGTTTGGAGGCGCACGGAAGCGCACAGGTGATGGATCCACTGGCCGTACGAATCGACGCCATCTTCGCCACCACATGAAAATGGAGGGAACTTTCTTCTTCCTTTCAAATTTTCGAAAAGCTGTGATTATTCGCGGGCATATACCGGTCAGCGTTGGTGGCCCGTGCTCCCTGGACGTAGAAAAAAGAAAAGCGAAGAGAAACATTAAAAATCAAAATGGTGGCAGGGCAGCCCTCGTGCGTGGCTGCCAGTGGTCAGTGCAACAAAATAATAATTTCCACTTCTTTTTTATAATAAAAAAGAAAGCCGCGACTTTAGAGCGAAAATGCGGATAGGAAGAAGCACAATTCTAAAAAGAAGGCCCTGCGAGCTTTTACACCAGTGCTTTATTAGAGACAAGTTCTCTGCGTGGGCGTGGTGTGTGCCGGCCACTCACGAGTCTGTCCTGCCTGAGTACTACTGGTGCTCTGCTGATTTTAGGGTTCCTCCTTAGAATCCTTCGAATTCCACTTCCAATTCCGGACTCCATGTGGATGGCTGGCCGGGCTGGGCTGGCTCTCCACGACATTGGTATAGTATCTCTTTTGCAGTACAAGGCTCCACACCACGTAACAAAGGGGAGCGCACTCACGAAAAAAAAAGGGGCAGAAGAAAAAAGAAGAGAAGATGAGGGGTTGGGAGATTGGTGGATTGACAGCTCCCTGCCTTTTTATTGTTTCGATCTTTTCTAGGGCTTTGATCATGGCATGCGCGCTCTGTTTCTAGGGTTCTTGTGCCTGTCTCAACTTTCTTTGGTCTTTGGAGTCGCGGTCGTTGTGGTATTTGGAACTTCTCGCGAGTTGTGGCGTTCTTCCTTTTGCTTTTCAAACTTTGGAGCGAAAATGCTACATAAAGGGTGATGTTTTCTTTGATAAAGAAAACAATTATTCTAGAAGTTAGTAGACCTTGAATGCATAGCTACACTGTACCCTACAGAAAAACCAGCAACAACCTTGTGTGTACGGGCGGTGGACTTTGAAAAGAAAGAAAAGAAAAATTCAACAGGGAGGAAAGCTTTTCTTTATTAAAAGTTTTACCAACTATCATGACCGGTTTTTGGGTTGATCAACAACTTTAAAAAGATAAAAGTCTTTTGATGATCCATCTCCGGAGTGAAGTGTGACCGACAGTGAATGAATAGATTGAGAAGCTTCCGGGTCGATACATGCCCTAAAAGCATCGATTCAAAAAAATCGATAACGCATGAGATGGAAACTGATCAAGCACGACAAGCATTGCAATCCAAACAAAACCAACAAGCAAACAAGCGAGCAATCAATGAAACAAACCAACAAAACGAAGACAGTAGCAATATACAAGTTTACAGAGCAATCCAAAAATCGGGGGTCAATCCTAAACCTCTTGAAAAGCACTGCTACCTTTTCTTGCTCAATGTGGTTCTATCCATCCTGACATACAACAAGCTAGGCAGATTTTTGTGCTCCTTTTGTACATTTTTGCTTCAACAAACGCAGCCTGTGTAGCTATACAGTACTTCCATACTACTTCATGTCATAGCGATGTGCTCAACGGTTTCTCAGCTTTTCCAGAAACTATCAAATCCCCTGTGGAGAAAAAGGAGGATAAAAATATACAAAACTCTCTTGAGCTGATTCCCTTACGTCAAGGTAGGATCCCCAGGATGATGTCACGAAACAAATAGAAGTAGTAGTAGTAGCGATGCTGCTCTCTTCGCCGGCTCGCCACTCATAAAGAAGGAAATAAATCGATCCAATCTCTTGTGGGACATGAAAGCCAGATTTTGTTTACAAAAGAAAAGGTGGCAAGCACACGTTGGGATGTGGCCAAAGACAAGCGTTATTTTATCCCCGGGTTTGGTTTTTTTGACTTCCACAAACAAGGCAAATGAATGATGAAAGAATTCTCAGTTGTGCGATCGTGGTCGTCACTTCAGACCGCCCGGTTGTCGAATCCCACCCATTGCTTCTTCTCGGCATCGAAGAGATTGCACTGCGTTAGGATGGTGGTCATGAGCGGAAACCCAAACACGGCCTTATTGAGGTGGCGGTCCCAGTTTTGGAGCAACGATGCGTGCCCGGCTCGCAGGTTATAACTTGGAATCTTGGTCGAAAGGTGGTGAGGAATGTGGACACTGATGTCGTGACACAGGAAATCAATCCTGTGAAAACCCAGAGTGAGCCCAAAGTTCGGAGGAGATCCCGAGTTTACATACCATCCAGGGTATTCGCAGTGAACAGTTCCAGCAAGTTGGGCTCCCACGGCGTTCCACTCGCGGTTCTGCTTGAATGGGATGTGTGGAGCCGTGTGGTGGACAAGGGTGAAAGTGCTCATCCAGAAGTGGAAGCCCAGCCATGGGAGCAGCCACCACTTGACGAAACCAACGGGCCCTTGGGTCATCAACAGGGGCAGCAAAATCAAAAGCCCAAAAGCGTAGCAAGCCGCAATGCTCGTCTGAAGAAGGCAAGCATTGTCCGTCAACTTTCTTAAAAAGATGATAGATAGATAATATTACCTTGACTTTGGCATGCTCCTGGGGGCGGAACTTGTTGAGATCGAAATGCCAGAAGAGCCAGTGTCCGATGGAGGCCATCCACCAGAGAGGACCCATTGTTGCACGCATCATCGCCTGGCCAATCCTGTCCGCATTGTCAAACTGGTGTGGCCGGAATGGCTGCCATGCCGTGTCCATAATCAGCCTGCACAATCGCAGGGAGAAGAATCACGTTAGCATTGAATGCGGGAGAAAAAGCACAGAAAACGATCCAAAGCCTTGAAAGATCCCCAGAGGATCTTGGAAGAAACGCGAGAAGCTTACTTGTTGGTGTGTGCGTGGTGAGTGTTGTGCTTGATTCTCCACGGCTCGAACGGGAAGACGAGTGGAGTCATGACCGCATTGCCGACGATGTCATTCACGAGCTGAGATTTGGAGAAGGAGTTATGGCCGCAGTCGTGACCGATGACAAAGAGCCCAGTGGCGGCGGTCCCCAAGAACGCGTAGATGAAAGGGTAGAGATACCACGGAGCTACGGTCAGGGCTGCGTATCCCGTGGCCAGGGCCGAGATCGTGATCGCCACAGTCTTCCATGCCTTGAAATCATCCACTTCGAACACCTGATCACAATTGCAAATAAGCACGAAAGTTTATCATTGATGATCTTTGTTTACCTCCTTTGGGAGCGTCTTGACAACATCGTTCAACACCATGCCGGCAGGAACCTCGGAAGATCAAACAAGAAGTGTCATTAGAAACTTTTCTAGCAATCACTTACTGGCTCGCCCATCTGTGTGAATCCCGGAGTCAAGACGACCTCCCTCTCGGCTGCTTGATCGCTGGCGATTACGCCAGCCGTGATCACATTGAGGCAAAGCCGGAGTCTTGCCTGAAGAACACGCACAATGGATTGGAAATACTAAGGTCAATCTACCTGGCGACGAGGAAATGGAACCAAGACTCTCGCCGGAATCGCACTGCGTGGCCTGTCGATGCGGATGGAAGCCAGAGCGATGCTGCTGCTACTTGCAGCCGCCATAGCGGAAAGAAACCCAATGAGCTCGAGCTGCTGAGTTCAAATGCCTAGACACCGCTCTTATATAAAGAGCCCCCTCATGCTTCTGACCCAACAATCTTGCATGCATGGATTATGGTTCGATAGTTTATCTTGATCAGGGAAGAAGAAAAAAACAAGTGTTGCAAGGTTCGAGCACTCACAAACAGTTGAGTTCTTCAGAGAAATGTGCTAGTGTCACGGGAGAATTAACACTGTGGATTCATTCCTTAGATTACAACACTTTCTTTTCCTTCCCTGATCAAGATAAACTATCGAGCATGCAAGATTCGGAAGCGCGAGGGGCTCCCTATATAGAGAGTGCTGTCTATACATTGAAAATCAGCAGCTCGAGCTCATTGGGTTTCCTTCCACTATGGCGGCTGCAAGTAGCAGCTGCATCGCTCTGGCTTCCATCCGCATCGGTGCTGTTCCGGCGAGAGGCTTGGTTCCATTTCCTCGTCGCCAGGTAGATTGACCTTAGTATAGCTTTTCCAATCCAAAGTTTCCCAACTTCTTCAGGCGAGACTCCGGCTTTGCCTCGATGTGATCACGGCTGGAGCAATCGCCAGCGATCAAGCAGCCGAGAGGGAGGTCGTCATGACTCCGGGATTCACACAGATGGGCGAGCCAGTAAGTGATTTCAATTCATCATCCAAATTATCAGTTCTAGAAAAGTTTCTAATGATACTTCTTGCTTATCTTCCGAAGGTTCCTGCCAGCATGGTGTTGAACGACGTTGTCAAGACGCTCCCAAAGGAGGTAAACAAAGATCATCAAAAACCTTGGAGCTAAAGGTTTCGTGCTAACTTGTGTGATCAGGTGTTTGACGTGGATGATTTCAAGGCATGGAAAACTGTGGCCATCACGGTGTCGGCCCTGGTTACTGGATATGCAGCCCTGGCCGTAGCTCCATGGTATCTCTACCCTTTTATCTACGCGTTCCTGGGCACCGCCGCCACTGGGCTCTTTGTCATCGGTCACGACTGCGGCCATAACTCCTTCTCCAAATCCCAGCTCGTGAATGACATCGTCGGCAATGCGGTCATGACTCCACTCGTCTTCCCGTTCGAGCCGTGGAGAATAAAGCACAACACTCACCATGCACACACCAACAAGTAAGCTTCTCGCGTTTCTTCCAGGATCCTCTGGGGATCTTTCAAGGCTTTGGATCGTTTTCTGTGCTTTTTCTCCCGCATTCAATGCTAACGTGATTCTTCTCCCTGCGATTGTGCAGGCTGATTATGGACACGGCATGGCAGCCATTCCGGCCACACCAGTTTGACAATGCGGACAGGATTGGCCAGGCGATGATGCGTGCAACAATGGGTCCTCTCTGGTGGATGGCCTCCATCGGACACTGGCTCTTCTGGCATTTCGATCTCAACAAGTTCCGCCCCCAGGAGCATGCCAAAGTCAAGGTAATATTATCTATCTATCATCTTTTTAAGAAAGTTGACGGACAATGCTTGCCTTCTTCAGACGAGCATTGCGGCTTGCTACGCTTTTGGGCTTTTGGTTTTGCTGCCCCTGTTGGTGACCCAAGGGCCCGTTGGTTTCGTCAAGTGGTGGCTGCTCCCATGGCTGGGCTTCCACTTCTGGATGAGCACTTTCACCCTCGTCCACCACACGGCTCCACACATCCCCTTCAAGCAGAACCGCGAGTGGAACGCCGTGGGAGCTCAACTTGCTGGAACTGTTCACTGCGAATACCCCGCATGGTACGTAAACACATCCTCATTTCTCGAGAATCTCCTACAAAGTTTGGGTTTTTACCACAGGATCGATTTCCTGTGCCACGACATTAGCGTCCACATTCCTCACCACCTTTCCACCAAGATCCCAAGTTACAACTTGCGAGCCGGGCACGCATCGCTTCTCCAGAACTGGGACCGCCACCTCAACAAGGCCGTGTTTGGGGTTCCGCTCATGACCACCATCCTGACGCAATGCAATCTCTTCGACGCAGAAAAGAAGCAATGGGTGGGATTCGACAACCGGGCCTGAAAGAGTCCACGATGGCACAAATGATAATTTTTTCATCATTTATTCGCTCGTGTAGTGTTCTCTTCAAGAATTATTTTATTTTTATTTTCGAGATTTTCATCTGTAAGAACGTTTTGATAACAAAAAGGTTTTTATTCTTCTCATTACAACCATTTTAAACCATTTATTATAAACGCGAAATTGTCCCGTGAGGAAAAATTGGGTCTGAAGTTCAAGAAAAGGAAGAAAAACGAAGGTGGACGAGCGGGAGGGCTACTTTGAACGATAGCAAGCTCTCTTAGCGGCCCGAACAATGTCTTCGATCTAAATCAACCATACACACGATTGACGAAACGAAAAAAGATAGAAGAAGCGAAATTTTTTTACCTGAGGAAGCGCCAAGCGTTCCAAGTTCGCAGCGTAAGGCATTGGAATGTCAGCACCGGAAATCCTCTCGATTGGAGCATCCAAGTAGTCAAAGCTTTCCTCCTGGACGCTAGCACTGCACAAGAGTTTCACCATGTCGCTCGAGGAAAAGAAACGAGCATCGCAGACTTACCAGACTTCGGCACAAACGCCGTGCTGTGGCCACCCCTCCTCCACAGCAACGAGACGGTATGTCTTTCTCACTGATGCGTTGATGGTCTCTCTGTCAAGCGGACGTATGGAGCGAAGATTGATCACTTCCGCCTTGATGCCGTCCTTGGCCAACTCGTCAGCAGCCTAGTAGAAGATCGTATGATTTTAGACACGGAAAGACGAAATCAAGGAAATGACTTACTTTTAGCGCAAAACCAACCATCTTCGAGAAAGCAGTGATCGTTACATCAGTTCCTTCTCGTTCCACCTACAGCAGACTCAAAAACATTACTCACTAGAGAAACAGGAAAAAACTCTACCTTGGCCTTTCCTATCGGTAGAGTGAAGTTTGGATCCCGAACTTGTGAGGACACTGGGAAGTTCTCCCCGTACCTACAAAAAATAAAACTATATGAGACAAGTCCGAGTTGCATTGTTCCACTTACAGCAACTCGTTTTCCAAAAACACGACAGGATCGGGATCCCTGATTGCTGCTTTCAAAAGGCCTCGTGCATCTTCCGCCGAGTATGGAGTCACGACTTTTAGCCCCGGACAGGACCCGTACCATGCTGCAAAGCACTGAAAGGATGAAAATAAAAATGGAGCCAACTCTCGCAGAACAGAGCGCTCACCTGTGAGTGTTGAGCACCAACACCGGCAGCTGCACCATTGGGACCCCGAAATACAATGGGAACAGATATTTGCCCTCCGGACATATAGTATGTCTTTGCTGCAGAGTTGATGATGTGATCAATAGCCTAAAATCACCACGAACAAGACTTAGAAAAAAACGTAAACATGATAAGCATCTACCTGCATAGCAAAGTTGAACGTCATGAACTCCACGATAGGCTTGAGGCCTTGAAACGCCGCTCCAACACCGATGCCAGTAAAACCAGCCTGAGAAGTCCAGTCCATTCATTACGATCTTCGCAACTTGATAAAATCAAAGCACTCACTTCTGTGATAGGCGTGTCCAGCACCCGGTCAGGTCCGTATTTTTGCAACAATCCTTTTGTGACCTTTAGTCCAGACATTTGTTACCACGTAAGTCTACACACAGAAGACAAAGAAAGTGCTCACCTTGTAAGCGCCTTGATACTCTCCAACCTGGACACATTCATTCCCATCAAGGAATGGAAAGAAAAAAGCATCGATAAAGGAGAAAGCATACCTCTTCTCCCATCACAAACACTTTAGGATCGGCAGCCATCTCCTCGTCAATGGCGGAGTTGAGCGCATCACGAACAGTCATCTAGTTTAATCAAAGAAGAAAGCTTCAGTATCAAAGCTTGAAAAAGAAGAAAATTAAGCTGCCCGACCTGATCTCCACTGGCAGCTGCTAGATTCCTGACGCTCATCCATTTTGTCTGCCGCACCGACCAAACGATAAGAACACCCGAGGAATCGCAAAGGAATGCGAGCTGCTGTGCCCTAGTCCTCGCATTGGAAGAGGATTTCTTACCAGGGATCTCCGGCAGGGCAAATGACGAGACGAGGAGCGCACAATCCCCGGCAACATAGCTCCGCAATCCGCCGATCAAGCGCCGCGCCCGCGATTGGAAGAACAAGCGCTCCGCGATTTCCCTCCCTGTGCTCTTCGCTTTACCACATTCCTAATTTCAGGGTTGACAAGAGCATTGTTAGGGATTTGCGTGTTCATCCGATGGGATATTCCATCCAGCAAAACGGAACATTCCGCTAGAACTAGTGACGAAGAACATTCCGTTGGCCGAGGGAATCTTAGGGCTTTGGAAATTATTTTAAAAAACAGGGGCTTTCTCTCTTCTTTCTTCCTCCTCTGGCGAGCGATGGACGAGAGCGTTGTGATGCGCCGGATCATCCCCGCGGACAACAGTTGTCTCTTCAATGCGGTCGGGTATGGCGCTCGTAGATGAGTGACGATTCGCGATTTCTAGGGCTCTTGCGCTTTGGTCCAGGTACGTGATGGAGCATAACAAGAGCAAATCCTCGGAATTGAGAGAGGTTTGCACAGATCTAGCCGCTGCTCCGCCGCATTTCGCTGACGCATTGCGATTCTTCCAGGTTATCGCCGCCACTGTGATTAGCGATCCCGAATCTTACAATGAGGCATTCCTTGGCAAGCCAAACGGCGACTATTGCCAGTGGATACTTAATCCCGAGAAATGGGGAGGTTTGTAGAGAAAAACTCGCGACTTTCCTTCTTTGTTCTTGCTATTTTTTTTTCTCCTTTGTAGTTGCTTTGTTCTTGGATAGGAGCGATTGAGCTCGTGATTGTTCTTGCTCGTTATTTTTTTTCTTTGAAGTTGCTAAAAAATTTGTTCTTGGATAGGAGCGATTGAGCTCGCGATTGTTCTTGCTCGTTCTTTTTTTTCCTTTGTAGTTGCTAAAACTTTGTTCTTGGACAGGAGCGATTGAGCTCGCGATTGTTCTTGCTGTTTATTTTCTTGCTTTGTAGCTGCTAAAACTTTGTTCTTGGATAGGAGCGATTGAGCTCGCGATTGTTCTTGCTCTTTATTGTTTTTCTTTGTGGCTAAGAATCTTTTTTCCTGGATAGGAGCGATTGAGCTCGCGATTTTGTCGGCCTATTATAGACGCGAGATAGCTGCATATGATATTCAAACCACACGCTGTGATCTCTATGGCCAGGTACTGAGAAATCGAAAAGAATGGAGCTCGTTGCAATGCTCAAAGTGATGATTTTTCTTGTTTCTGGGCAGGATAAAAGCTACCAAGAGCGTGTCATGGTTATCTATGATGGATTGCACTATGATGCTCTTGCGGTACGTATTTTTCTCGAGAAAAAAGGAGTGAGATGAGAGAAGCTCGTTTTCAAGACACTGAGAACTACTCTCGCAGTTGGCTCCTTTTGCGGGTGCTCCTGAAGACGTCGATCAAACAGTTTTCAAGGTGGACAAGTATGGCCACATTGGTCCAGCCGAGCGTTTGGCAGTGAAACTAGTCGAGGAATCTCACAGGTTTCTTAAGTTTCACAGTGTAGTTTCGATTGTTTCTCAACCTTGAATCTTATGACTTATATAGGAACCGGAAGTTCACAGATACTGCGAGCTTCACGCTGCGTTGTGGGATTTGCCAAGAAGGCGTGGTGGGACAAAAGGTACGAGCTCCATTTTTCTCTGCGGCTTGTTCGATCTTCTCGCACAACTTTTCACCAGGAACTTACGTGAAGTCTATGGTTCTTTTGGTGTAGGAAGCTGTGGAGCACGCGAAGCTCACCGGGCACACCAATTTCCAGGAGTTTAGATAACACTGTGAAGTTGGAGTGAGAACTGTGAGTATCACACAAGAACTAGACAACACTGTTACTATAGCGAGACAAGCTTTGGATCTCTCGTCCTGTTCTACCTTTTGGTGGTTTTTGACGAGAGATTACGTGTTGTAATACTACTGCAACGTACGCCGTTGGATGTGTGACGCGTGTCGTATCCAACGGCTCTGAACCGTATTTTGCATCGACCTTGCCAACCATTATTTTTACCAGGCGCTAGGGTTTTAGCGTGGCGCTCTGGCGCGATCGATGGTGCGATGGCGCTGTGCTGCGGCGCTGACGATCTTGCCGATCGTTGGCTGTAATGCGCATTCATCGCGGGCGTGCTCTCGTCGGTATTGGATTCTTTCCGACACTGTCGCTGACCGATTTTGGGTACTAGGTCCCGGATCGGATTATCTGGATGCGATCAAGCAAAGGATGTAGCGAATGCCGCGAGCGAGCGATCGCCAGATAAGTTCTCGCTCCCTCAATCTCTCTAGGATTGCATGGAGTTTAGATTGTTCTTGTGTGTGATTGATTGGGAATGTGTTTGATTAATCACCCCCAAATGTTTTTGATTTTTATATTTCTTGCGACTGTCCATCCTTGGTGGGCATATGTCCAGTGTCTTTTCTGGTCTGCGAATGTTTGAGGAACGATTCCCCTAGCTTGGCTTTGGACAAAAGCCAGCCTTTTCAGATAAGTCGGCTTGAGAGGCAACTAACTATGATGATTGTCGATCGATGCGTGCTTTTGCCTTACCTGTATTCTTCTTTTTCCTCGCATTGTTTGCCTCGGTTTGAGCCGAGGCGAGAGAGAGAGAGAGAGAAAGATAGAGTTTTTGCCCGCTCTTGAACACAAAGCGTCTACATTATATCGTATGCGCATAAAGATGACTGCTGTCGAGTCCTCCTAGTGGCAGTTAAACTGGGACCAGTTTTAACAACCTTTTGTGGTGGGCTCACGACAAGCTGGAGCCGCTGGTTGTGGCTCCGTGTGAGATATGCTGCTGCTGATATGTATGTGCTATAGGGGCCCGTGCGCACGCTATCCCCTTCCCTTAGAAAAAAGAAGAATGCTTTGGGTCCCGCGCGACATTCTCGTGAGATGGAAAAGGAGTCGTCCCTCCCTTCCCTCCCCTTCCCCCCAAGTTTTTAAGCCTCTCTCTCCACACTAAATGATTTTTAGTATTGACTATTTGCCTGTGCCTGTGGTTTCTTCTGGCTTGCCTGTTTCGTTGTCTGGCTTGGGCCTCCCTACCTAGTCTGAGTTCTAGAACTGTTGCATTGCCAGGGTCTAGTTTACTTTCACATCATACCTATGGACATCATAGGATGTTTGTACTGTGGTGTTGGGGGCTTCCAGCATGCAGGTCTACGGGGGTGTGCTGCTGTGCTGTGTGCACTGTTGGGGTTTTGTTTGCCTTCTTTCTAACTGTGAAAGGATACAAATCACTGCACTGGCTTCCCTCCTAGTACCTCACATGCATTTGATCATCATGTGTGGCCTACTTACTCGGTCTTAGCTTACACCCGGCCAATTGTCTCTACATGCATTACCAGTTGAATCAATGAATGCGTATCAGCTGGTCAGCCAGACGAACCGAGAAAAATTTAAAAACTGAGCTCGACACTTGATGTGTCGAATGGATGGGAATGTTTAGGATCCGTCACGACCACACGTTGTGTGCGTGACATGTAAGATATGCGATCAGATATGGCTCTTGGAAGAGTGTGATCTCCTCTTTCCGTTCGTAGAATTACTAAATAGCGACTACAGCTACAAGGGGGAAAGCCTCCTTTAATCTCATGCTGATTGTCGGCATTGCATCCTGACTGTTCTGCAATCTTTGATGTAGATAGCTATCGGCTTACAACCCCGTACTGGCTATAGAGCCAGCTTTGGCTTGTTCTTGGTTGTCCTTCTTGGTTCTTTAAAGCAATTTGAGTGATTACTATATTCTAGCTCAGAACTCAGAAGTTCATAGCTTCTAATAATAAAATTTGGATGTTTTTTGCAGGGAAAATCTCACCGCAGTAGCTGGTTCTGCTTGTACTGGTGGCTGCTGATGATGGGAACTGGTGAACAGAAGCGAAGAGATACAAGTAGGTAGGGGCCTCAACTCTCACAGCGCTGAAGCAGCTATACTCTGCACCGCAAACTTAATGACAAGTTTGGAACAGCAGGTGTGTATTGGTGCAAGGAAGATGGGATTGGAGTCGGGAGTGGATGGATGGGATGGGACTGGTAAAGCAGTCTCTGCTCGGGTGTGCCAGAGAAGGCGGAGACTCTCTCATCTCACAAGAGCTGAGATGTGACTCTTCACTTAGTCCTTGGTAGAGCTGGGAAGGAAAGAAGACCCCTTCATAGAGAGCCTGCCCGTGGTATGTACAACGATCACATTTTACTCTCTTTGACAAAGACGATCTGGGGAGAATCTATTTGACTCAGACTAGATACGAACAAATTTTCTAAAGGAAATCGAAATCGGCAGAGAATATGATATGAATGCTACAAGAAAAGCGGAGGTGAGGTATATAATATTGTTTCATTACGCTTTATTAATGTTTTGTTTTGTTTTTTCATTCTTGTGTATGCAGTGATTCTGTTAGCAACATTGGTTTGAGTAGCCAACCGGCCAGCCTGCCTACCACTAGCCAGCCACCGTTGGAAAGAATGCCAAGTTTCGGCTGAAGTACATGCACAAAAATACATGGAACCAACTCTGGTGTTTGAGAAAGGAAGATGCCTTTTCCGGTTTCCAAAACAACCCCGGAGGGAGCGGAAGCATGGAAGGTGAACAATGCGGAAGCAGCAACGAATATAGGGACAAAGGCAACAAAAAACAAGACACATTCCGTGAGATATTACTAGTTTATCGACACCGAGGTAACGCGGACTTACACACAAACTGCAGGGAACATCTGGCTGGGGAGCAGACACCAGGCAAGTAAGCAGATTTCCTACTTAAAAAACAGGGAGGGAGAGAGGGGCCCTGATACTTTTCAATTTAAATGCTTACAGCCAGCAAAGGTTTCCTGCTATGGGCTTGATGAGAGCCCCTCAAAAGCAGCGGGTCTGTGCAAGTGGTGGCGGTTTCTTCGACTGCAGCACGCTGAGCTACTCCCAAGGTAGAGTTAACTAAAGTAAGACCCGTGTTGCATTTGCATCATCGTTACAGTAGTAGCTGCGATTCTGCGAACTCTCTTTCTAGAAATATGTTTGTATAAGCAGCTCTCCTAATCTTGTGTGTTTTTCTTGTCATCTCAGCTGTGCCTCGGTAAGGTCCCTTGTGCACGCCATGGCTGGTACCATCATCATGTCGACCATATGGCTTGTCAAGTCGTGCCCGTTTATGCTCCAGTTTGGGCTTCCTTTCTGGCCCAGGCGGGGAGCCACACTTGCCACGGCTCCAGAACTTTGAAATCAACCAGCAGGAAGGTAAGCTCTCGCTCTGTTTGACTTGCTTTTTGAGCTGGCTTGGCTAATGCATTTTAGGACGCCAATAATGAGTGAGTGTGGTTGACTGTCTCGCTACTGTGTTGTTTGTGTTCGAAAAGAAGCATTTTGATGGTGGCTCTTCATGCAATTGTTTTTGACTGATTTGATAGATTCGGCTATTCTTACGTTCTTGTGGTCTTGGTCTCGGTCTTTTACGGTATTGGCCGCAGTTTTTTTATGATATCTTTGTGATTGTGGGGGATGGCTGATTGGCATTACGTCACGGGCAGGATAGAGGCTTGGCTCATTGTCATCGTCTCGAGTCTCGACTTTTTCTTTTCGCCTTGGCTTGCTGCGGGCTGATGCTACTACTGCTACTACTTATCCTCGTCACTCTTTCTCTCTCCTGGCAGTAGCATGCTGCGTGTCGAAGCTTTGGATGGCAATAGATCGAGATGTGGAATCGTCTATCGAGTGGTATGATATTATGCTGTTTCGTCGTGATTTTCACTTCTCTTTAGCGTGCGTGGGCTTGTTGGGCTGGTATTTCATGGGCTCTGTGTCGTGTGGCCGACATGCTCGACTTACGAGACATGGGGCTCACGTCCGACCACCAGGTACGTGGTTCTCTCTTCTTTTTTTCCATTTGATTTTTATTTCTCACAATTATCCTTAACTTGTACTATTTCATTGAAAAGCAGGAGTCTGAAATGAATACTTACAGCAGTTTTACTGGAGAAAAGAAGGAAAAGAGGCGAATTTCCTGGTTTTGGAGAATCTAATTCAGTTGCAGGTGCATCACTTATGTCGCATGAATAATGCAAGGAGAAATCAGGCGAGCACATGAGGTAGGCTCCCACAATCCCCACTACTCGGCGGTTGACTCTTGCTTTTTTAGTGCAGATTTTGGAAGTTGACTGGAGGAGCTGGAAAAAAAAACTGGCAAATAGTTTATGGCACAGGAACGATTCAGGTAGGAGCGAATGACTTATCTCTGCCTGGTTTTTTTTGGTTTTGATAGCGTATCCTTCCTTCTCTGGTGGTGGTGTAGCTAGCTAGTTGCTGCTTGTGGCTGTTCCCTGTTCCCTCCTTGTCTGTGTGTCCTGCTTCTTTTGGAATGACCCTGGGAACTTTTGAGTTTCCTTAAGAGTCCCTTTACGGTCATCTCAGCGTTCTAGTGAGTGTTCTTCCAGCCGTGTCAATGAGTGAGTGTGTAAAAGGTGGCTACGCGTCTCTCTTCCTTTTGTATGCTTCTCTTCTTTTTCGAGCAGTGTCCCGGGTTTGTTTTTCTCTCTCAGTACTTTTAATCTGTTTGTCCGTCCAGGTTCTCCTGATGCTTGATTGTATCTTGGTGTTACTTACACTTCCACACAGGAGGAGGAGGACCTCGCTGCTCATCATTTGGCGCCTTAAATGCGAAACACTCTTCCTCGTCTCCCTCGGAAACGAGGCGATGGATCGCGAAGGTTTGGGGATCCGTGTCGCAATTCCTTTCCTCCCTACAGTGCGCGCTAACATGATGCTGCAGGAGTACACACACCAAAGCCAAAGGTTCTATGCCAGGAAGGAGTTTTGGGACCCATCCATGTTAAAACACCGCGCATTTTCTCCGCGAGCATTTTATTCACTTGGATCACCGACAGGATTGTTCCAACGATCAGACAAACAAAACCGTTTAAGAGCGGCCAAAGTTTGTGTGTGTGTGTGTGTTTTTGTTTTCTTACTCTAGGCAATGTTGTTCTTAAACACTATAGAATAAAAGGTGGTGGTGGCGTCACCCATTTGATCCTTGCGCTTGCTTGCATCATTGCATTCCTCAAACCCATCAAAACTTCCAGTCAACTTTGGCAATCGCCACCCAAACCTTCCAAGACTTGGAATCCATCTTTGTTTTGAGGAGCATGCCACGATTCCACAGTCCAATTTGGATTTTAATTTGGAAGCCAAAGCAGAAAGCCCCCAAATTCCATGCATGATTGCCACTCCCAAACAGGCGAATCATTCAAAACCTTTCAGCCTCATAGAGCGAGGTCCACCACCATTGACGCTGGGCCGCGCTCGATCCTCCCCTACATGCCATGATCTACGGATCAATCCCGTGGAGGGATCTCGCCTTTGGTCGATCGAGCGATCCCATAGGCTCCATTCAATCGCGCTTATCAGAGGTGGCGAGGTTCTTTTAGGTTTTAGGGCTCTCTTGGGGGTCCCGCCCCGCCAGCGGCGCCGCTCACAGGTGGCGCCGCCGGCGGCGCCGCTGTACAGAGGCACAAGGGCAGTCTATAAGAAGCACAGCCATCAACCTCATTTCCAGTCACTCACTCATTCGTTTGTTCGTTGGTTCGCTCGCTTTCGCCCGCCCAGAGCTCCGAGCTCCTCTTTCTCTCTTCTTCTCTCTCCTCTCGCTCTTTTTCGATCCACCACAAACTCACACAAGTCTCTCCCCATTTGTTCCTTCCCCGTTTTTCTGTTTTTCTTGGTTTGGGCCTGAGCGCTCCAGGCTTTCGCGAGGCACTTTTTTTTTTTCTTCTTTGGATCGTTCTTGCGGGGCTGGTGTTGCTGCTCGAGCGAGATCGATTGGTTTTGGACTTGGATTGCTTGGCTTTGCTTCGAGTGATCCACGCTTGATATCCTTTCATGGTGGAATGCAAATCACTGAGGTACAGGCGTGGATTACCGGCTCGTGCTTGCTGAGAGAGAAAGGATGGGATTGCTTGCCTGATCATTGCGGTTTGTGGGCTTCTCAAGATTGTGGTTTTTTTTTTCTTTCTTTTTTTTTCTTTCACTTTCGCTGCTGTTGATGGTTCTGGTGATGTTGTCTCGAGGGAAGACGCTCGCTTGCGCTGGCTGGCTGTTTTGCTGCCTGCGCTGCTTTCATTCACTCTCTCTTTCAATGGGCTCGCCTTTGTTTGCTTGCTCCTTTTGCTTTTCTGAATCTATCTGTCTGCATCCACCACTTGGTCCATCCCTCGCTTTGGCATTTTGCTTCCTTTGATGTTTGCCTCTCCAACTGCAGGGCTGCTCGTTTCACTGATCCCCACTCCAGCTTTCATTCTCTCTTTTCAATCGTCGCATAGTTCTCGTCCTCCTTCGCTTTCCATGGCGTTGTTGAGAGAAAAGCCAGTGTGGTCGTTTCCAAATCGTCCTTGTGCACCCTCCCTGCAAATTCCCGTCCGTGACAGAATCCCAAAGCTCGATTCTTTCCGCCCACAGTCATGTCCTCTTCATTTCGCTCATTTACTGCAATTCTTGGGGTTTGAAAGCACGCGTGCGTCGAGAATTCGATCCGAGCCGCGGAGGACTTGAGAAGCAACGTCAGCAATCGGCGCTGGGAGAGGTCTGTGTTTCTTTCCTGCGATGATCTTCCCTGCGCGAATGACACACACATACGATAGTTTTGAGAGGCCTCGAGGTTTTGAGCTATGGTGTGTCGGGCTTTGGCTTGCAGGGGGAGCTCCCTTCAATTCAACTGAGGTCGGTGCGTCGCTGTTACTCGCTGCTGACTCATGCATTCGCCTGACATGCCCGCAACCATCATCAGATCGTGATCAGGACACGCCGAAAACATGCCCGTGATCACCTCCGCAACTCTCTGATCTCGGCGAGGTTGATCACAGAATCCCCCGAGTTTGAGGCATGGCAGCCGTGTGCATGATGCAGGAGCAGGTGCGGCTTCGGCTCTGAACTTCCCTTGGATTGAAGGGAGCTCCCTTTCAGATTCACAGCATCGTTTTGCAACACTTTCTTTGCTATTTGTTTCGTTCTTCTTTATTTTCGTTTTTTTCTTTTTCTTGAGAAAATAAACAGTATTTGGTTCGTTTCAAGCTCGTTTGAATTCCAGCCATGTCAGTTGTGCAGCTTTGGGACACAGATCCAAGTTGAAAAAGAAGGAAAAATAAGTTTTATTTTCCATTGCTTGTTTCTCATTCTTCCTATTTTGTGGCCTAGACAATGAAGGAAGAATCTGTGCTGGAGGGGAGTCATTCAATTTGAGGGGCGAACTATTCGGGCACAGGTACTTAAATGAGATCGATTTTGGAATTCCTCAGAGCTTACAACAATGCAGGATCTCTCCCACCAGATTTCCCCTCCTGCTTGCTTTTGTTGTTTTGTTGGGGAGGATTTAACCGCCCGCTCAACAGCTTATACATTTGACTTCACAGAGAGGAGCTCCTTTTCTTTCCTGTGATCCTCGATTTAAACAGTTTTCTAGCAGAGATTGTCGTTTCCTCCATAATCAATTAGTACAAGCAAAGCAAAGCCAAGCAAAGCAAAGCCAAGCAAAGCTTGTTTATCATTTCTCAACATTCCAGCAGCCATATATATATATATATTTCAAGCAAGGTAGCTGATAGTGAGAGCGGGGGGGATGTTCAGAAGTGTTGCAAGTGACTCAGATTGTAAGAGAGCGAGGATCAGAAGAGGTTGATAGATAGATGCTGTTTATGGTTACTAAAGTGCCCTTTTGGGGCATGGGGTTAGAAGATTGGAAATTACATTACTGGAAATAATAATAGGAAATTCTTGGCTCCAGCAAGCAAATGGTAAAAAAGAATGAGAAAGAGGAGTGTTGCAAGGCAAGAGATTGTATAAAAAAAGCAAAAGCCTGGAACACACCTGTAGAAGTAGAAATGAAGGGTGGAAAAAGAGATGGGGGAGGAGGAGGCAAACTGCCCACAGCCCATACCCCATGTCAGAAGTGCAGGGACATTCTTTTCAGGGCTTGTCCATTGGAGGAACAAACCCTGGAAAACCATAGCTATTTGAATTTGATTTCTTTAAGCTTTCAAACTATTAGGGCACACTCTGTTCTAGGTTTAGGGCTCTTGGACAGGAATGGGCGAGGCGGAGGAGACGCAGCCGGAGCCGCGGCGCTGGGCTCCGCCGCCTATTCCGATCTGCGCAGGGGCGGATCGCAGCAGCTTGCTGCTGGAGTGGCGGAAATACGTCGATTTCGCTGATGGATTCGAGTACTGCTTGGAGCTGGGGTTGAAGAGGGCGCTGAGGAGCGATCTGCACGGGCGGAGGCCCGGGAAGAAGAATGCGGGCACGGGAAGAGATCTCGGGGCGCCCGAGCTGATCGAGTTTGCCGTGGCCTGGTCGGAGCATTTCCCGCAGGGGATTTTCACCTCATCCGCGGCTGGGTATGCGGTGAATTTCGACTGTCTTGAGTGGAAGACGATCTATCGTGGCTCGGAGAACTCAAGCAAGGTATTCGAGCTTGTTTTTTTCTTCTTCTTCACGCGGTTGCTGGTGTGATATATGTGCATTTTGTTTTTCTTGGTTGGATTCCACGAAGAACAGGTTGAGGATTTGATACCCGGGATGGGATACGTTTTCCGGCTTTGCGTCATGCTTCCGGATTCATGTTCGAACGAAGCACCACCACCTCTTTCCTCGGACCAAATCATGTTTTTTACAATCCCATGCGCGCCATGTCCTCCGGAGTGCCCGCTACTCGTGGATCGTGGAAGAACTTCGCTTAAGGTTTGTTTCTTCTCGTTTTTTCGTTTTGTAAGCTGCATGATTTTACTTTTTTTCTCTCTCTATAGTTGAAGTGGTCGCCACCCTCGATTACCGGGGGAATGGCGATACGTGAATACATCGCTGAGATGAAGCGTCCAGGCGGCGATTTTGAGAACGTCTACAGTGGTGGCACAAATCTCACGGTTAAAGTGACTCGGCTTGTCCCGGGAACCAGCTATATCTTTCGTGTGCAGGTAGACATTTTCTATTTGTCTACGTTCTCATTTTCTCGTTTTCCTCACTCCAGGCTTTGAGCTGCCTAGGCTGGAGTGGCCTCAGTAAAGAAGTGACATATGTCACAGCTTCGTCTGTTCCTGCTGCACCCACGCCTCCTAGTCTCTTGAGCTCGTCTCGAAACTCCATATCCCTTTGCTGGGAGGTATTGCCAGTATTAGACTTTTCTGAGCTTCGTTCTGTCACTTCGAAATACAGGAACCAGACAATCATGGCTCACCAGTATCCTCTTATACTCTTGAGGCTGACGATGGTAAACGGCAACTTTCATACATATGTATATGATATTTTATGATGCAGGACTCGACGGGCCGTTTTCCGTTGTTTACAGTGGCGAGGAACGAAGGTTTGACATTTTTTCAGGATGATTTGCCATTTATTAATACTTTTATCTCTCAGGTGTGAAGTTGGTAACCTGAGGAGTGGAACCAGCTATAAGTTCAGAGTTCTTGCTCACAATGGCATTGGGAAAGGTGCATTTAGCGCGTCTGCGAGGTTTTCAACATCGCACTCACCTCCATCTGCGCCTCGGTCACTTAGCATTCTTGGCAAGACATCAACCTCTGGAGTCGTCGGCTGGAGTCCACCTGATTACAACGGTGGAAGCTCTATAACCGGGTTTGTCATACACAGTACCTTGCTAATAAAACAAATCTCATGCGGTTTCATTCAGGTATGAACTGGAGTTCAAGCTGAAGGCGCCTGGCAGCTGCTGGACTCAAGCATATAGCGGTCAATCGAGCACGTGCAATCTCATTGGTCTTCGTCCTGGTACGCATAAGATGGCATTTGTAATCGACAAGCTGAGTCGTTCGTGCAGGATGTCAATATCATGTGCACGTAAGAGCAAAGAATAACGAGGGATGTGGAGATTTTTCTCAAGAAGGTATTCAGGTTCTCTTATGAAGTAATAACGCCGTTCTTAGCTCGTTTGTGTATGCAGCTTCGTTTATGACTTCTCCTGGCCTGTCAGAAGCTCCCTTGTCTCTGGTGTTTTCAGAAATACGAAGTACATCGCTGAAAGTTTCCTGGGACCGTCCCAACCACGACGGTGGCTCAGCTATTCTCGGATATCGTTTAGAGGTAATGTTACACTTCTATCAACAGATTTTAATTTTTCGTCTTAGATGCTAATTGCAGAAACAAGCGACTCTTTGTGTGTATATCGAGGGGATGAGCTTTCTGTTGGCGTAGACAAGCTTATTCCCGGGCAGAAATACATTTTTAAAGTACAGGCTTTGAACAAAGCTGGTTCTAGCGCTTGGAGCGGTATGGTAGTTGTCTGCAGCTGGCTTTGACTGATTTTTTGTTGTGTAGGCCCGAGTGAAGTTTGGACAAAAGCAGCTGTTCCGGATGCCCCTGAAACTCCAACTATTGTCAATGTATCATCTACCACCGTTTCTCTACGGTAACTGAGATTCTCGCTTTAAACGAGTTCTATGACACACAAGTGACGTTGCAGGTGGATCTCGCCAAAGCCAAACGGTAGTTGCATACTATCTTACCGTCTTCAAATGGCCAATCTAGGATATGATGCAACAAACCGGCAGAATGAGATGTTTCGTTTTTATTCATCTGGAACTGATCGTTACATTGCTGGGGAGGAAAATGTGAGGTACAGATAATCTCGTAAGATTGTTTTCGCTTATACAAGTTTAGACGCAGGAAACACAGACTGAAGATAATGACAAGGAACGTCACGCTGTTCAATCTGTGTACGATGGTCCTGCTCTTGCGTATACAGTGAAGAACCTTGAACCATGGACTTCATATGCTTTCTGCTTGCAGGTTGTGTGCCGTCTCGATTCTTTACATTCATATCTCGTGGCTTGCCAGGCCTTGAATTCGGTTGGAGAAAGCTTTTGCAGCAAGATCATCCTCTCTAAGACATCTCCGTCTTGTCCTTCGCCACCGTCGCTTGTCATTACTGAAACATCAACCGATACTGTGTCGCTACAATGGGAGGTATCAAATTGTTGCTAATGAAGATTTATCGGGCTCATTAGTTTAACGATTTTTGCAGCTTCCACAGCGAGATAATGGTGCTAGCGTGATTTCTTTTGGCCTTCACATGAAAAAAAAACCCGAAGCCTTCAAGAACAATCCAAGACATAACAAAACGCATATAGAGGACACTACGGACGAGTGGACTGAAGTATACAAAGGGGCATTGCTCAAGTAAGCAATTATTTTATGTTTTACTTCATCTAAAAAGCTTGCTGCAGTTACGCGTTACCGTCGCTACTGCCTGGGCATTCATACATGTTCCGGCTCGTAGCCTACAATGTGTATGGCCCTTCTCGACCAAGCTTTGTGACTGCCTCCACACTTGCAGCGTGTCCTCTTCCTCCATCCCCGCCAACATTTTCTGGAATATCACCAACAAGTGTCCGTGTCAGGTGGTCTGCCCCTACTTGCGACAATGGAGCACCGATCTTGAGGTTGGTGTTGTTGATCTTTCAAAGACCTTACTTTTTATTCGACCTTTCTGTAGATACAGGCTTCTCATGGATCATTCTAAGTCTGGTCATATGCATAAGGTTTGATCGTCTTTTTTTCTTTCTCTTAACTGTCTACATGTATTGATTGCAAATCTATCTTTTCAAGGTGTACGAGGGGGATTCGACGTCTTACAAAGTTGTAAAGCTCGTACCTGGGAGATCTTATCAGGTGGCTGTCCAGGTAAAAAGACCCATATTCTCGGTTTTTGCTCAACAGCTTTGTCTAGGCTATCAACTCTGCCGGTGCGAGCCATCTGAGCGACTTGTCTTCGGTTACTCTCCCAGCTCAGATCGTTCTTCCCGCACTGGACGCGCCACAGCTGGCTCGTTCCAATGATTTCCTTTCCGTATCGTGGACGCATCTGGATCAGCGAGAGGTCGTCTCTTACACACTCCAGATGGAGTCAGCGCCTGGCAAGTTACTCCAAGTTTACGAGGGCTCCACTCCAAGGTACGTCCATTAATGTTCTCGGGACAAGGAAGTAGACTGCACACTTAATTGTTTTTTTTTTAATTTTTTCTACTGTAGGTTCATGCTTGATATCAACAACAGTAATAAGAGCTGCAAGTTTCGAGTGCGAGCCAACGGGGGTGGTCTGGAAGTTTGCTCCGGCCCCTGGAGCCCATTCTCGACATGGACTCCTCCACCCGAGTCCAAACAAAAACCAAAGGATGTGAAGCGATCCAGCTCGATCACGACAATGTATTTCATACGAGGTATGCATCAAAGACTCGCAGATCCATGGAGTGTCAAGCAGCGAAGGATGATTGCGCTAATCGGGACTTTGCTTACACTAACTCTGGCCTTGTTCGCGAACACTCGCGATTGATTCTCAGGTACGTAGCCTTGGACAAGTCAAACAGGGGAGGAAAAATCTAACCTTTCAAAGCCACTGTCTCGCAGGAGTTTCGGTCAAGTTTGGTTGGCCTCGCCTCCACATGGTGTGTTTCTAAGATCAAGAAGGTCACGCGTACGTAACTCCATGCATGCGTACGGAGGCCGCCAAAGCCTTTGCGAATTGATTGCAGTGACGCGGAATCGCCGACCAGAGACCTGCCACGTAGCACTCGCTCGCTCGCCCATTCCGCCGCGGAAAACGTCACCGCCCAGCCAACCACCACGCTCTCGACTTTCCACATCGGAATGTGGCCCCGGTGCGCATTCAATGAAGCCTCACATCTATCTATACCGGAAGTACAGTTGGGTGGTGGTTCCCGGTTCAAATCCGATATATTCCCAAGCCATACCCGCCACGTCAGCGTGACACGTCGCCAACGTCAGCAAAGCGCGTTCTTCTAAAAGACGAGACCCTCCCTCTTTTTTTTTTCAAGTTTTACCACAAGGAAGGTTCTGTTTTGAGTCTTTGGATTCGTTTCCTCCAAGAAAAAAAAGAGAGAAGATACGAATGGAAGATCACGTAGGTTGTGATCAATCAAGGTCTTAAGACACTAACAATTACCATTTTTTACTTTTTTCCTGTTTAGACTGAGAAGAGCGAAGCTTCTGTGTGTAGATTTTGACCAGCCGCGGCTTTTCCAAGTGAATCGCTATCGCATTGATTGCACGAGTGAGGAAAAAATTACCACCGCCTTGAACAAGTGAAAACCAGCCCCATCGAAAGATCAAAATCAATCAAGGTAACCCAAGTTGGTGCAACCAAAAAAAAAAATGCCGGCTATTAGGGCAAATGCACCCAAGACACGTGGCGCAATATGGACTGAGACGTAGTTACTGCCAGATGCCAGTCATATATTCCGCATATTCCACTGTGCCCGGTCGCTTTTATTTTTTTACTTTTTTCCGACAGCAGCAGCGCGACCGGATCGTTTTCCACCTACCAGATTCCGCCGGTTGCGGTGTACGGACACGAGGGGAGCTAGCGTACGGTAGCCGCCGTCAACGGTGTGGATCTCCGGTTCTATTCACACGGTCTCAAATCCAGCTAAAAAATCTTCCTTGGGCAGAAAAATACTTGCCTCTTCCTATTACACAATCTCTTCTAGACCATCGCCCACCGATCCCCAGGTGAGCGCTACAGGTTCTCGAGCGGTCAGAGAATCGCAAATTCCAGGTCTGTCTATCCAAATGCGATAGCGCGCGATGATCTCACGAGCGAATCCCCGAGGATAAAGATATATAATTCGATTCGAGGCCGAGAGAGCTCGATGCGAGCGGAGAGGAAGATCCTTGAGAGGGGACGAGAGAATTCACGCCTGTGAATGATTCCAGGAGCTCGGATTCCTCCTGTGCTGCTTCGTCTCTCCATCTCCAATCGCTGTCAATGGCAACCTGGGAGCCAAAGTTACCTTCTTCCTTCCACGAGACGTCTCTCTGGTCGCTCAAATCCAGTGCCGCTAGCGCTACCACCGCCGCTGATCACAACCACCACCACTTCTCTTGGTCTCCTCTAGGTTCCAGCGATTCGCCTACCACCGCCACGATGGCCGACAAATCGCTTCTTAGCGCTCTCAACAAAGCTTCGCCTCCATCGCGTCAATTCGCCACCAGCGGTGACAAGCTCGATCAGCCCACAGATTTTCAGCACGACGGAGACGCTGGAGCTCACGGCTATGGCAGTGCCACCACGAATTCCTCCACGGCGCCAAACCGGGGCAGCGCCACCATCGCCAACAAGCTCCTCGGTGGGGCGGGAGCTCTAGGAACAGGATCCGGGAAGGTAACAAAGAAGCGAGCTCGCGCGTCGCGGAAGCCTCCCACCACCGTCCTCGAGGCGGACAGCTCCAACTTCCGGGCGATGGTGCAGCAGCTCACTGGGATCCCGTCGGTTCCGTTCCTCTCCTCGTCGATGCACCAGCGAAACGGCCTCGAGTTCCTGGATCTCGGCAGGCCCCCGACGGCCACACGCTCGATCCTGGGCTTCGCAGGTCCACACCACCAGGCGTTGCAGGGACTTCCACCGCTCGACCCCTCGGCTTTGCTCCCAGCTTTCGGCTCGAGAGCTCACTCCGAGGCCACGGCCGCCGGGTTTGGATCGTCGTCGCCATACTTCAAGTACATGTCCGCCGCGGTGGCCGCCAGCGCTGCTCCTCACGAGCACTCGAGGCAGCAGCAAGCTCCTCCCAGTATGGGGGACTTTCTGAGAACACCGCTGGACGAGCTCGGCCTGGACCAGAATGCGAGCTCGCCACTGCTGAGCTCGCTGGATCAGCAGCAGCAACACGAGCAGCAGCGTGTAAATCTTCCCAGGAAATTGGAGAGCTCGGAGCTCTCGTCCATGCCTTCGTTGTGGGAAGGAGGTGGCGATAGCTCGAGTCGAGAGTTGCAGGCGACGAATTGCAAGACCGAGGATGGTGGTCTGGAGCATGGAACTGATGATACCGGCGACCAGGAGGGATCCAACAGTAGGATGGTTCACATTGTGGATTCGTGGTTGTCCCATGCAGATCAAACCACGGATCACAAGCAGCACTGAGGAGAGTCTACACACTGATATACATCGCTAATAATTTTCGCGGAGCTGTAGAGACACGCACGTTTTTAACTTTAGAAGTTCCAGAGGTTGGGCTGCTTTCACAGATGCGAGCTTCTCAGCATAACGTTTTACTACAGTAGAGAACAAGGAATTAAAAATATACACCTTTCATGCCTCACTTTCGGGAAGCCCAGAAGAATTACGAAAGAAAAAAAGCGATGAGGAAAATCTCGAAGAAGAGACTAGCAGCCACCCTGACCATGGAAATCAGAAAAAAGTGTATAAAGGCGAATGGAAAGAGAGGGCTCTCGTCCTCGCAAGCCGGGAGATGGAAAGCAAAATTCCAAGGCACCTGAGAAAAGCTCGATGACATGATAAGAAAACTAGAGAGCAGCTTTGCAATGTCTTGTTCGCACCATATGTTTGGAGAAAACGTGAGCAACTGCCATATCTTATGCTTCGTGTGTGATGCTTGGAACAAGATCACTAGAAAAGATGCTAGTCCTGAGCCTGACTTAGTTTCATCATAGAAACTTCTGGATCGTCAAGTCCTCGCAGGCATCATGTAAGAACGCATTTCAGATTTAATGTTCTTTAAGCCAGAGGAGATACAAGCTAACAGACGTCCTCTTCAAGTGGATCCCACGAAGCGGCAAATCCCTTGAGGCGCTTCCCCATGAGCTCGAGCACGCTGCCCCATGAGCTCGAGCACGCTGCCATAACCAGTGTAATCCATCTCCACGCACTCTTTGCCCACATCCATGATAAACCTTCGCTGCTGAGAGGGACTTGAGAAAAACGGGCAGATCCTTGGCCAAGGGCTGAAGATGCAATCCTGCCACATTATCGTGGCTGGGGCAAGTTGCTGCTGGTCTGGGGATAAGGCATGTACTTTCTGCCTCGACAAGCTCTTCTAGTGGCACCAAGCAGCTCTGGAGTGTGGAAATGAGTCTGATGTTATTATGTTATTGTGCTATCAGTGCTCAACATGGGGATATGAAGGATGAGGAGATAATGATCAGATGCACACATATGGCTGCTAGAAAAAGTTGAAAGTTCCTGTTGGTTAGCACTTTCAGCATTTGAAAAGTTTAAAGCAAATATAAAGTAACATTATAATGCTCATTGAGTGCATGGAATACGGAAAGAGAATACAAAAAATGTTTATCCCAAAAACCCTAATTTATATATAAGAACGAGTGGTTCAAATTGAAATTAATCCAACGGCTACTAAAATCCCATTAATCTTAGTATATGGTATTGTAGCCATACATTTGGACCTCATATCATCCCCTCTTCTCGGAATGGGCTGAAGTCTGGAGGAATGTCAAAAGGAGGTATTGGCAAATCTGTAAGTGGTATTAACTATTCATAATCCCTTTGTACAAAGTGTTTCAACCATTACATATGCATAATTTTTAGAGGATCAGCCTGCTAGACGTCATGCCAAACCTCATAAACTTGTGGTCCAACTTGCCACAACACTTGATACAGTTTTTTCTACTGAGCAAGGAGCCCCTTAGATAAACCATGTACTGTAAGATGGGGAAAATGAATTAACGCCAAGTCATCCACTTTGTACTTCGCAAGTGGATGATGATGGGAGTTATAGTACCATTGTTGTCTCACTTGTATGTGGCTTAAGTGTTCAGCAAACTCTACTCGAATAAGTGGAAGAATATTAGTCAAATACTAATTCCACGACCTAGCATCGGTGATCACGAATATAAACCCAGCTCCATTGGTAATATTGAATCATGACCATATAAAAGTTTATATGGTGAAACACCAATAGAACTCTGCACCCCTATAACATATGCATACCAAAGAGATGGTAAATAACCATTCCAATCCAAATGCTAAAAATTCATACATTTCACAAACATCCCTTTGAACATCCGAACGAGCCGTTTCACCAAACTGTTTGATTGTGAATAATAAACACTTGTGAAAGTGTGGCGTATCCCCAACTAAGACATCAAAACATAAAATGCCTCAACCATAAATGCGAGACCATTATCCAAAAGAATTCACTCTATGCAACAAGAATGCTAGAATACCACTTGATTGAGGAGGAAGTATCCAACAGTAGTTGTAGAGGTGCTAGCAAGAGTACCAACTTCCACCTAACGAGTCAAGTAGTCAAAAGCAATAATAACATACTCATTGTCAGCAGTTGATTGTTAAAAAGGTTCTATAAGATCAAATACCACCAACTCAAACAGATGGGAAATTGCAATTGACTCCAACCATCCTTCCACCGCACGAGGGGGAGTATTACAAGCTTGACACCAAACTGTAACGCATGTGATCATGGGATGAGATTTGGATATACTGTCACCATGGATCCTTGGAACCTTGGGGAATAAATGGGGATAAAATAGCCACTAAGGGCTCTCTCATCAAGCAATTGCCCCTTTTCCAATTGGCTTAAGGGGAGAGAGATAAAGTGCGTTACAGTTGGTATCAGAGAAAATGGCATGGGTTCGATTCCTATTGATTAGTGGCTACTTAAAAGTATAATATACCCTTGAGCAAGGTGTATTTCTACCCTTAAATTTGAAATCGTACGTATTGGGCATCTATGCGTACATCCTTCCTCTTGTGTGGAGTATCCACGGACGAAGGTATCCACCGTGGGACTGCGGTACGGGTGGATGACTAGTTGCCTCACATGGAATAGCTGATCTACACATTGGAAGGATTGGTAGATTGAGTGCGGAAATGGAGGTGCTGGTTCCCCTTGGCTCAATAGGGGTTGTTAGTCAATAGTCAATGAGGACATTGACATCTCTGAAGGGGGGGTGAGTGTAGCGCATGTGATCATGGGATGAGATTTGGATATATTATCACCGTGGATCCTTGGAACTTTGGGGGATAAATGGGGATAAAATAGCCACTAAGGGCTCTCTCATCAAGCAATTGCCCCTTTTCTAGTTGGCTTAAGGGGAAAGAGATAAAGTGTGCTACACAAACACAGTTACATATATATCGGATAACATTGCATCAGATCTCTGGCCAATAAAAAGACTTGTGCAGCTTCTTGGTCACATGATGATGTCCTATATGCCTACCTAGAATAGGAGAATCATGGTAGGCATGAAGAAACTATGGAATAAAAATTGAAAGCACCACCAGCTATAAATGATCATTAGGATCTGTCCCCACAAAATAAAGAAGGCCATCTTCAAGGTGATATTGAGAATGTCAATGCCGGAATGGTAAGTTATCAGCAAGTGATGTAGGATTTTCAAACCCTTTTCAAAGTCTTCAAGTCCACGGCTCAATTTTTTTAGCCTCATGAACCTCATCAAGAGAAGGTAGGTCTTGCTTTGCACCTTGTGAATACTAAACGTGAAGTATAGCAACTGCTGATAGCATAGAATCCTCGTCTAGAAAATCCACAGATGCTAGAACAACAGGCACATTAGAAACATGAGAAGAGAGTGAAGAAAGAAGAGAAACTCGAAAAAGGGCATTAACATCAACTATAAAACTCCTCGGGAGATGAACAACATCAAAATTATATATCTAAAGCTTCAAAGCCCACTAAGCAGTACGACCAACCAAGTTCTTCCGCTTCAATAATGAAGTACGGCAACATGATCACCTTTTAGTAACATTCGAGAACCATGTAGATATACATGAAGTTTCTCGAAACCCCAAACTGCTATTAAACACTCATTTGTCATGGAGTAGTTCACCTTTGTTGGTAGTAATGTATAGCTGATGTATGCAATAAAATGGCGATGACCAAGCACACTTGGGCTTTTTTGCATCAACACACCTCCAAGACGAGCATAGACCATACTTGAGCTTAGAAGCGGAAGAGTTGAGCTCAATTTTCAATTGTAATTTAGTACAAATATTATAAACTTTAAAATTTTAAGGTTATAGCGAACCTAATAATTTCAGAACTCTCTATATATTATATAGATAAAAATGTTCTAAAAGACACTTCTTATTATAATAATTTAAATATTTACTACATGCAATGATAGGGATATTTGTTAGAACATAAAATAAAATGTTTGCAAAAAGAGTATTCTTGTCAATTCTTTAAATTTGCACTTTGTGCTTTCTGGCTAGTAAATGAAAGGTTTGTCAGAATTTAAAAATTATTAAATTTGAATGAAGATTCTATATAAGGCCATATAACCATTTGAAAGGAAAAAAAAACCAACTATGATGGTACATATGCTCTCGCAACACATTGCAACATCACGCACCTGAAAGATTACCATGAAATGAGATGGTAAAGACAAAAATGGAGACTCACGAATACTATGGACAGTATTGCAAAAAGAACACTTGCAAGTATATGAAATGAAAAGTGAAATAATAAAATATTTTTATTAATTATATAAGTTATAATAAGTTTATATTATTGATAGAGAATAAACATTGATAGTGTTGGAAAATCTAATTAGCTCCAAAAGTTTTCTGCAACTCAACAATAACAAGGTTTGCATGGTGTATATGAATATCTACTATAGGATTTTGGTACAAGATGTTGATGAAGATGTAATATATATACTTGCAAAGAGTATATGGCTTCTCATATTCCTCGCGCTTTGTAAAGTCTAGACATGTGCAAGAAGGAAAGTCTTGAATGGCAATTGTGTACTCTCTATCTTCTGTTTTGACTATGTACTCCTTTGCAAGTGTAGTGATGTACTTGGAGAGAATCTTACATTCAAATGTTTAAGCCAAGTTTATTTTACCTTGCTTCTGCTTGGAGACGGTACCAATAAATTTAACTGCTTTACCTTTTCTTACTGGCCTCCTGTGCATCTCTGTACGAATAGTCCTGGTTTTATCACTCATGTCTCCAACTCTCCTTTCAAGATTGAAACCAGATTTCTCAAGGTTTTCAATCTTATATGAGGTGAGCACAACCCCATTAGCAACTGGCCATTCTTTAGGTACTGCATTAGATTTAGTCACTATAGTATCTTCAAGCCACTTTGTATGGTTGACATCAGTGTTGCAGCAATATAGCCAACACTATCTTGAAAATCCTGCTTGCTTTCATTCCCCATGGAAACATGGGGTTGGAATAGAAGCAGACTTGTCATCATAGATCCAAACCTAACATTTGCCCTTCGGAAACATCCCCACACACCTTACATTTGATTTTGCTGGCACTTGACGGATTGCCCATTGCTTCGGCTCCAC